TGTTGGAGAGAGAGGTTTGGTGAGTGTGGAGGTTCTGTGGAGCCATGTTGGAGAGAGAGGTTTGGTGAGTGAGGAGGTTCAAATGTTTGGGAAATGGCTGGTTCTGTGGAGTCATGTTGGAGAGAGAGGTTTGGTGAGTGAGGAGGTTCAAATGTTTGGGAGATGGCTGGTTTTGTGGAGTCATGTTGGAGAGAGAGGTTTGGTGAGTGTGGAGGTTCTGTGGAGTCATGTTGGAGAGAGAGGTTTGGTGAGTGTGGAGGTTCTGTGGAGTCATGTTGGAGAGAGAGGTTTGGTGAGTGTGGAGGTTCTGTGGAGTTATATTGGAGAGAGAGGTTTGGTGAGTGTGGAGGTTCTGTGGAGTCATGTTGGAGAGAGAGGTTTGGTGAGTGTGGAGGTTCTGTGGAGTCATGTTGGAGAGAGAGGTTTGGTGAATATAGAGGCTCAAATGTTGGGGAGATGGCTGTTTCTGTTTCACTGAGGGTAAACTGTGGTACATTATCACATTGACTGTCCAACACCACAGATAGTGCCTCTCCTAGTCTGTGACAAGTGCCAGCCATGCTCAAGCGTATCATGGTAGAATTTATCATGTCAGGATCATCACTGATCTGGAAAGAAGCTAGAGCATCAGTGAAGTCTGGAACTGTCCCTGGAGCATCAGTTAAGTCTGGAACTGTCCCTGGAGCATCAGTTAAGTCTGGAACTGTCCCTGGAGCATTAGTTAAGTCTGGTGTCCCTTGAGCATCAGTGAAGTCTGAAACTGTCCCTGGAGCATCAGTGAAGTCTGGAACTGTCCCTAGAGCATTAGTGAAGTCTGGTGTCCCTTGAGCATCAGTGAAGTCTGCCATCCCTTGAGCATCAGTGATGTCTGTTGTCCCCGGAGCATCAGTGAAGTCTAGAACTGTTCCTGGAGTACCACTGAAGTCTGGAAATATCCCTGGAGATTCAGTGAAGTATGGAACTGACCCGGGAGCATAAGTAAAGTCTGGAACTGTCCCTGGAGCATCAGTAAAGTCTGGAACTGTCCCTGGAGCATCAGTGAAGTCTGGAACTATCCCTGGAGCATCAGTGAAGTCTACAGCTGTCCCTGGAGCATTAGTGAAGTCTGGAAATGTCTCGGGAGCATCAGTGAAGTCTGGAACTGTCCCTTGAGCATCAGTGAAGTCTAGAACTGCCCTTGGAGTACCACTGAAGTCTGGAAATCTCCCTGGAGCATCAGTGAAGTCTACAGCTGTCCCTGGAGCACCAGTAAAGTCTGGAACTGTCCCTGCAGCACCACTGAAGTCTGGAACTGTCCCCGGAGCATCAGTAAAGTCTACAGATGTCCTTTGAGCATCAGTGAAGTCTACAGCTGTCCCTGGAGCATCAGGGAAGTCTACAGATGTCCCTGAACCATCAGTGAAGTCTAGAGCTTTCCCTGGAGCACCACTGAAGTCTAGAGCTCTCCCTGGAGCATAAGCAAAGCCTTTACCTGTCCCTGGCAGGATGCTGACCTGGCTAGATGGCTGAGCTGCACAAGAAGCTGGAGCAGGCAATGATTCTATCAGCCGTCTTGATGATCCTGTTGGTGAGGTGACGGTGGAAGAGATGGCCGATGGTGCACCAGGTCTTATGTCATCCCTGGTGGTTACAATCCTTCCTGGCTCATGACACTCTGATGACACAGATTTTCGACATGCAACTTCAGCTCTCTGCGGGGGCCTGGCAATCTTCGTCTGCTCCTCGATCTTCCTCACAAAATACCTGACCAGGTTTGAGTGTGGCCGACTTTCATCATCATCCTCATCTGCCTTTTGAGGAGTTGGGCTCATCAACAGGGCTGACCCAATTTCTCGGATCAAGGCCAAGGTTTCAAAACCCATACTCACCCTGGCCATGGCTTGGTTCTGTGTCTCAGTGAGCTCAGGATGATGCTGGATGTATGTGTTGCTACCTGAAGAGTAAATCTCTGAACTCTCAAGGTTGCTGTGACTACCTTCTGAAGGTGCAGTGACCAGTCCTGGTGCAGGTGCTTCATGTAGGTCCAGGGTGCTGTGGATTTGTTGTGGGTCCACGGTGCTGGGGATCTGTTGTGGGTCCACAGTGCTGGGGATCTGTTGTGGCTCCACAGTGCTGGGGATCTGTTGCAGCATCTGTTCTACTTCAAACTTTGTTTCCAGTTCTGGGGATGGAACAAATTAGAAAAAAAAAAAAAGATAAATACACCACCTCATCACAGTGAGTACAGAACTTACTAGTTCCTATTCTGATTAATGAAACAACCAGTCTCTGTGTGAAATATGAAGGACATTTCAGACAGTACAGCTTCACATTTGTTTCATCCACCCCCACAAACTGTGTGTGCAAAATGTATGAACTGTACTGCAGTAAAGCTCATTACATCATGCCCCCCCCCCTTTCCCCCAAAAGGCCTATTACTGCCTTTATTATATACCACTTTTGCGGTGTAGACAGGGGGGTATATCAGTCATGATGGTACAGGTGAGGATTTTATTTTGCCCCCTGACAGAAAAAAAATCCCCCTGCCTTACCGAGCATTTGAACCCAGGTCTCCCGCTTGAGAGTACAGCGTTTTAACTGTCCTCTTACATTGGGCACAGACAGTAATTTTCCATACAATCTTCATACCCTTCTATGACCGTATGCCAAGGTCAAACAGGGGTATGCATGCCTTGCCTGTATCAAGTTGTGTCCTGCACACTCTGCCATGGCTGCATCAGGTTGTGTCCTGCACACTCTACCATGGCTGCATCAGGTTGTGTCCTGCACACTCTACCATGTCTGCATCAGGTTGTGTCCTGCACACTCTGCCATGGCTGCATCAGGTTGTGTCCTGCACACTCTGCCATAGCTGCATCAGGTTGTGTCCTGCACACTCTACCATGTCTGTATCAGGTTGTGTCTTGAACACTTTGATATGACTGCATCAGGTTGTGTCCTGCACACTGTGCCATGGCTGCATCAGGTTGTGTCCTGCACTCTGCCATGGCTGCATCAGGTTGTGTCCTGCACACTCTACGATGGCTGCATCAGGTTGTGTCCTGCACACTCTACCATGACTGCTTTAGTTGTGTCCTGCACACTCTACGATGGCTGCATCACGTTGTGTCCTGCACACTCTACCATGGCTGCATCAGGTTGTGTCCTGCACACTCTACCATGGCTGCTTTAGGTTGTGTCCTGCACACTCTACCATGGCTGCATCAGGTTGTGTCCTGCACACTCTACCATGGCTGCATCAGGTTGTGTCCTGCACACTCTACCATGGCTGCACCAGGTTGTGTCCTGCAAACTCTGCCATGGCTGCATCAGGTTGTGTCCTGCACACTCTGCCATAGCTGCATCAGGTTGTGTCCTGCACACTCTACCATGTCTGCATCAGGTTGTGTCTTGCACACTTTGATATGACTGCATCAAGTTGTGTCCTGCACACTGTGCCATGGCTGCATCAGGTTGTGTCCTGCACTCTGCCATGGCTGCATCAGGTTGTGTCCTGCACACTCTACAATGGCTACATCAAGTTGTGTCCTGCACACTCTACCATGGCTGCTTTAGGTTGTGTCCTGCACACTCTACGATGGCTGCATCAGGTTGTGTCCTGCACACTCTAACATGGCTGCATCAGGTTGTGTCCTGCACACTCTACCATGGCTGCTTTAGGTTGTGTCCTGCACACTGTGCCATGGCTGCATCAGGTTGTGTTCTGCACTTAGCCATGGCTGCATCAGGTTGTGTCCTGCACACTCTACGATGGCTGCATCAGGTTGTGTCCTGCACACTCTACGATGGCTGCATCAGGTTGTGTCCTGCACACTCTACGATGGCTGCATCAGGTTGTGTCCTGCACACTGTGCCATGGCTGCATCAGGTTGTGTTCTGCACACTCTACGATGGCTGCATCAGGTTGTGTCCTGCACACTCTACGATGGCTGCATCAGGTTGTGTCCTGCACACTCTACCATGGCTGCTTTAGGTTGTGTCCTGCACACTCTACGATGGCTGCATCAGGCTGTGTCCTGCACACTCTACCATGGCTGCATCAGGTTGTGTCCTGCACACTCTACCATGGCTGCTTTAGGTTGTGTCCTGCACACTCTACCATGGCTGCATCAGGTTGTGTCCTGCACACTCTACCATGGCTGCTTTAGGTTGTGTCCTGCACACTCTACCATGGCTGCATCAGGTTGTGTCCTGCACACTCTGCCATGGCTGCATCAGGTTGTGTCCTGCACACTCTGCCATATCTGCATCAGGTTGTGTCCTGCACACTCTACCATGTCTGCATCAGGTTGTGTCTTACACACTTTGATATGACTGCATCAGATGGTGTCCTGCACACTGTGCCATGGCTGCATCAGGTTGTGTCCTGCACTCTGCCATGGCTGCATCAGGTTGTGTCCTGCACACTCTACAATGGCTGCATCAGGTTGTGTCCTGCACACTCTACCATGGCTGCTTTAGGTTGTGTCCTGCACAATCTACGATGGCTGCATCAGGTTGTGTCCTGCACACTCTACCATGGCTGCATCAGGTTGTGTCCTGCACACTCTACCATGGCTGCTTTAGGTTGTGTCCTGCACACTCTACCATGGCTGCATCAGGTTGTGTCCTGCACACTCTACCATGGCTGCTTTAGGTTGTGTCCTGCACACTCTACCATGGCTGCATCAGGTTGTGTCCTGCACACTCTGCCATGGCTGCATCAGGTTGTGTCTTGCACACTCTGCCATAGCTGCATCAGGTTGTGTCCTACACTCTACCATGTCTGCATCAGGTTGTGTCTTGCACACTCTGCCATGGCTGCATCAAGTTGTGTCCTGCACACTCTACCATGGCTGCATCAAGTTGTGTCCTGTACACTCTACCATGGCTGCATCAGGTTGTGTCCTGCACACTCTACCATGGCTGCTTTAGGTTGTGTCCTGCACACTCTACCATGGCTGCATCAGGTTGTGTCTTGCACACTTTGATATGGCTGCATTGGGTTGTGTCCTGCACACTTTGCCATGGCTGTATCAGGTTGTGTCTTGCACACTGTGCCATGGCTGCATCAGGTTGTGTCCTGCACTCTGAAGTGGCTGCATCAGGTTGTGTCCTGCACACTCTGCCCTGGCTGCATCGGGTTGTGTCCTGCACACTCTACCATGGCTGCATCGGGTTGTGTCCTGCACACTCTACCATGGCTGCATCGGGTTGTGTCCTGCACACTCTACCATGGCAGCATCGGGTTGTGTCCTGCACACTCTGCCATGGATGCATCAGGTTGTGTCCTGCACACTCTGCCATGTCTGCATCAGGTTGTGTCCTGCACACTCTGCTATGGCTGCATCAGGTTGTGTCCTGCACATTCTACCATGGCTGCATCAGGTTGTGTCCTGCACACTCTGCCATGGCTGCATCAGGTTGTGTCCTGCACACTCTACCATGTCTTCATCAGGTTGTGTCCTGCACACTCTGTCATGTCTTTAAAGCATGAATGACATCCTCATTATTATAAATTATTGTCCCCATTGAAGTGTCCCAAAGGGAGGCATGTTCCAGATTGGTGCTATAAGGTAGATGACGGTCCAACACAATTTATTGATTGCTTCCTGATTTGCTTGAGGTCATGAAACAGAAACAGTGCTGCTCGATTTTTGTGGTGGTACCACATTTTCACATTTGTTAGAATCTTGAAGTAAGCTTTAGAACTGATTGTCTCACCTCCTGGCATCACATCCACCAGAATCCCCATCGATGCCCCAACAGGCAGAGGTCTTGACCTTTCCTGCAGATGTAGTTGCCTTAAATATTTTTCTTCGTGGAGACTGGAGACGATGGCACTCAAACACATCATATCTGTCTCAGTCTCACTATGATGAGCCCAGGTGACATCACCCGTAATAATCTTGGACAAAGAGTTCTCTCCTCCAGGATCAATGCTGCAATAATTCACAACCAATGCTGCAGCTGTTCTGTGTCATAAGGTGCTGCCATTTCCCACTTTTAGTAGATACATTTCCAATGTGAAGTGTGCAAAACTTCATGATCCTATCTTTATGATTTGGTAAGACAAGAATGAAGCACATTAATTTGTGAATATCTTTCGTAGATTATTGCAACACACATGACAGCTGCATTTTGTCTGCAGTGAAAAATGACAGGTTGTGATATTGTGTGACTGGACATTTACATAACCCAACTACAATATACAGTGTCACTAGAATCCGAATTTCATCTACTGAATTTGTTGTTATTATGCTGTGTAATATTCATAGCACAGTTCAGAAAACAGCAGGCGTACACAAGAAAACAGCAGGCGTACACAAGAAAACAGCAGGCATACAACAGACAAAACAACTGACCATAATTATCTGGCATGTCCTTCAAATGGTCCAGCTGAGAAGTTGCAAGTATCTCCATGTCTGTCTGCTGTATCTCCCCAATTCTGATGGACTGAGCTTTCCCCACACACTTGTCCTCCTGCAGCGACAAGACTGGACCACTGGACTGACGGGTGTGTGTGGACTTTGAGTGTGGGCTGTCTCGGTGATGTTTCAGACTGGACGTACGTAACATGGGATGGGGCTCTTGCTCGCTGTCACCACTAAGCAAAATGGAAGCAACAAGTTTATTAAATGCTGGAGGTTTCCTGTCTCATAACCCTCTAACATAGCTAATAACAGTGATGTGTATATTAGTGTCATTGTTAATCAAATGAATAGTTAACCCTTCAGCCTGATGTTCCTAGAAAAACAAATCCACCAATAACATGTGGAGAAAAAATCCTTAAAAATAAACACATTTTATACAGGTCACTGAGAAATTTTCCCAAAATTCAAGTCATTAAGTAAAGGCAAATGCATTAAATAGTCTTTCACAAGCGGTTGGAACAATATTGTTCTGTTCCTTTTCTCGGCTTAGTCTCCCTGCCTTGCATCACATGCAGTCCACCAAACCATAAGGCAGTGGATGCCCGCTCCTCCTTCCTACTCCCCATTAATAAAAAATGTTTCTTTAATGTAAGTTTAGTCATTTAAAAATTCTTGGTCCTCTTAAACATTTGGGCAGGTACAAATGATACTAGAGCTGTTAGCTAGACTTCTCATGAACAAAACACTACCGCAGTGATACCCAAACTGCGCGCCGCAGCACCCCAGGGAGCCGCAACCTCTTCACAGGGGCACCGCGAAATATTGTAAAAGCTTCATAATATATTTTACCAAGACATTTGGCATACTAAACAAAAACGTGAAAAGCTAAAATAATCTAGATTTTTGTGTGTGTGATTTTTTATTTGACCCTGTATAAAAATAAAGGTGCTGGCACAGAATATCCTTGTCAACGCATGCCGGCAGCACTGCGTCTTCTCAATCGCGCCATATGATCGCACTAGACATGTCGAGATGCGCAGATTCTTCCCGCCAGATTTGGACTGTTCTGGAAGATCTTGTGGAAAGTATAAAAGAAAGCGTTACCGGTTCGATTCAGCCAGTCGACGTACAATTTAAGTCTAGTGAAGTTAAGCTCAGCGTTTCATTGTAATTTAGTTACTTATATTACTTCTTGTTTGTTGTCTTTGATAAAAAGTTTTGTGATTTTTGGCTCTTGTATCTTTGATAACGGACCGATTTTTTTACAGTAATAAACGTAATAATGCAGAGAGAGAAAGTATGCCTTCAATCAGTGGCACAAGTGTGGAGAAACAAAAATATTGTATCGATTTCTAGTTCTGTCCTTGGAAACTCATGGAAGAAACTTACCACTGTCTTCCTTCAATTTCTTGTTTTGTCCGTAACACTAGGCCCGGAGTCAGAGGGATTTTCTCTCGTTCATACACTGATCCTACAGCCAGGTTATCATCTTCCTGTATGCACAGCTCCATACAGCTGTAGGAATGGCGTACCACTGTGACCTGTGGGTGTGCAGAAATCTGCCCATTCCTGTCCTCATCTGGCGGATACAAACAAAAAGTTGTTGGAACATGCCTGGTAAAAATGATTTTCAGTACAGCTAACCACATATGACACAGTAATATATTTATATTCATCATCATTATCGCGTGCCATGAAAAATTTGATTAACAGAGTCCCGTGGCAGAGGGCGCCTTTTTTGGGGTGCGAAAGTGTGAGGCTGTCAAGTAATCTTGGCTGTGACATACTGAGAATAGTGTGAAAGTATGAGGCCGTCACATATTCTTGGCTGTGACATACTGAGAAGGGTGTGAGGATGTCAGATATTCTTGGCTGTGACATACTGAGAACAGTGTGAAAGTATGAGACCGTCACATATTCTTGGCTGTGACATACTGAGAACAGTGTGAAAGTATGAGGCCGTCACATATTCTTGGCTGTGACATACTGAGGAGGGTGTGAGGCCATCACACATTCTTGGCTGTGACACACTGAGGAGGGTGTAAAGCCGTCACATATTCTTGGCTGTGACACACTGAGGAGGGTGTAAAGCCGTCACATATTCTTGGCTGTGACACACTGAGGAGGGTGTAAAGCCGTCACATATTCTTGGCTGTGACACAGTGAGAGAGGTGCGATAGTGTGAGGCCGTCACATATTCAAAGCTCTAACATACTGAGAAGGGTGTGCAAGTGTGGATAATGTTCACAGTGATGGAATTACTTCAGCAGGCAAGTATGCAAGCCTCTAGTCACATTAGCTTTACCAGTGTGACAGGATTGTAAGTGTTGACAGCACTCTAACCTGATAATGTCCACAGTAATGGAATTACTTCAGCAGGCAAGTATGCAAGCCTCTAGTCACATTAGCTGTACCAGTGTGACAGGATTGTAAGTGTTGACAGCACTCTCACCTGATAATGTTCACAGTAATGGAATTACTTCAGCAGGCAAGTATGCAAGCCTCTAGTCACATTAGCTTTACCAGTGTGACAGGATTGTAAGTGTTGACAGCACTCTCACCTGATAATGTTCACAGTAATGGAATTACTCCAGCAGGCAAGTATGCAAGCCTCTAGTCACATTAGCTTTACCAGTGTGACAGGATTGTAAGTGTTGACAGCACTCTCACCTGATAATGTTCACAGTAATGGAATTACTTCAGCAGGCAAGTGTGCAAGTCTCTAGCCACATTAGCTTTACCAGTGTGACAGGATTGTAGGTGTTGACAGCACTCTCACCTGATAATGTTCACAGTAATGGAATTACTTCAGCAGGCAAGTGTGCAAGCCTCTAGTCACATTAGCTTTACCAGTGTGACAGGATTGTAAGTGTTGACAGCACTCTCACCTGATAATGTTCACAGTAATGGAATTACTCCAGCAGGCAAGTATGCAAGCCTCTAGTCACATTAGCTTTACCAGTGTGACAGGATTGTAAGTGTTGACAGCACTCTCACCTGATAATGTTCACAGTGATGGAATTACTTCAGCAGGCAAGTATGCAAGCCTCTAGTCACTTTAGCTGTACCAGTGTGACAGGATTGTAAGTGTTGACAGCACTCTCACCTGATAATGTCCACAGTGATGGAATTACTTTAGCAGGCAAGTATGCAAGCCTCTAGTCACATTAGCTTTACCAGTGTGACAGGATTGTAAGTGTTGACAGCACTCTAACCTGATAATGTCCACAGTAATGGAATTACTTCAGCAGGCAAGTATGCAAGCCTCTAGTCACATTAGCTGTACCAGTGTGACAGGATTGTAAGTGTTGACAGCACTCTCACCTGATAATGTTCACAGTAATGGAATTACTTCAGCAGGCAAGTATGCAAGCCTCTAGTCACATTAGCTTTACCAGTGTGACAGGATTGTAAGTGTTGACAGCACTCTCACCTGATAATGTTCACAGTAATGGAATTACTCCAGCAGGCAAGTATGCAAGCCTCTAGTCACATTAGCTTTACCAGTGTGACAGGATTGTAAGTGTTGACAGCACTCTCACCTGATAATGTTCACAGTAATGGAATTACTTCAGCAGGCAAGTGTGCAAGTCTCTAGCCACATTAGCTTTACCAGTGTGACAGGATTGTAGGTGTTGACAGCACTCTCACCTGATAATGTTCACAGTAATGGAATTACTTCAGCAGGCAAGTGTGCAAGCCTCTAGTCACATTAGCTTTACCAGTGTGACAGGATTGTAAGTGTTGACAGCACTCTCACCTGATAATGTTCACAGTAATGGAATTACTCCAGCAGGCAAGTATGCAAGCCTCTAGTCACATTAGCTTTACCAGTGTGACAGGATTGTAAGTGTTGACAGCACTCTCACCTGATAATGTTCACAGTAATGGAATTACTTCAGCAGGCAAGTGTGCAAGTCTCTAGCCACATTAGCTTTACCAGTGTGACAGGATTGTAGGTGTTGACAGCACTCTCACCTGATAATGTTCACAGTAATGGAATTACTTTAGCAGGCAAGTATGCAAGCCTCTAGTCACATTAGCTTTACCAGTGTGACAGGATTGTAAGTGTTGACAGCACTCTCACCTGATAATGTTCACAGTAATGGAATTACTCCAGCAGGCAAGTATGCAAGCCTCTAGTCACATTAGCTTTACCAGTGTGACAGGATTGTAAGTGTTGACAGCACTCTCACCTGATAATGTTCACAGTAATGGAATTACTTTAGCAGGCAAGTATGCAAGCCTCTAGTCACATTAGCTGTACCAGTGTGACAGGATTGTAAGTGTTGACAGCACTCTCACCTGATAATGTTCACAGTAATGGAATTACTTCAGCAGGCAAGTATGCAAGCCTCTAGTCACATTAGCTGTACCAGTGTGACAGGATTGTAAGTGTTGACAGCACTCTCACCTGATAATGTTCACAGTAATGGAATTACTCCAGCAGGCAAGTATGCAAGCCTCTAGTCACATTAGCTTTACCAGTGTGACAGGATTGTAAGTGTTGACAGCACTCTCACCTGATAATGTTCACAGTAATGGAATTACTTCACCAGGCAAGTGTGCAAGCCTCTAGCCACATTAGCTTTATCAGTGTGACAGGATTGTAAGTGTTGACAGCACTCTCACCTGATAATGTTCACACAGTAATGGAATTACTTCAGCAGGCAAGTGTCTCATAGAATTCATTGCCTATCAGAACAAATCCCCCCCCCCCCCCAGCATTTCCTACCCATGGTTTTAATAGTCAGGCCCTGGGTTCACTGTGTTGTTGATCAAACCTTGTCTCATAGATTTCATATCCATTCCTATATTTTCTGTTGTGTAGTTAAATCTGTTGCCACTTACCCAACAATGTTGTTGGAGCCGCCCAGACCAGATCGACCCCCTTGATGTCCTGGGTCTCTTCTAGTGAAATCTGGCCTGCCTTGTTGAAATCATCTTGCATCTGTTTCACCTGCAACAACAAACACAGCAGTGTTACTTCAGCTGGCTGCAGGTTACATTGCCATTACACTCAATTATTATCTAGCCTCTGTGTTTGATGATAATGCAAGGAAGATCTAAAAAAAAAACCAGGTGCGTTTCCCACATCCCCACAATTGATATGCTTATTTAGTGTGTATAAACTTCCCATAGCCCTCACAGTTGATGGAGTGTATTAAATTCTAACATCCCACACAAATGACAGAGTGTATTATATTTTTCCATATACCACACAACTGATGGAGTGTATTACATCCCACAAGTGATATGCCTGTTAAGTGTATAAACTTTTCACGTCCTACACAAATGTTAGAGTGTATTACAATACATTCCACAAGTGATATGCCTATTTAGTGCATAAACTTCCCACACAATTGATAGAGTGTATTACATTCCACAAGTGATATGCCTATTTAGTGTATAAACTTCCCACACAACTGATAGAGTGTATTACATTCCACAAGTGATATGCCTATTTAGTGTATAAGCTTCCCACACAACTGATAGAGTGTATTACATCCCACAAGTGATATGCCTATTTAGTGTAAAAACTTTCCACACAATTAATAGAGTGTATTACATCCCACAAGTGATATGCCTATTTAGTGTAAAAACTTCCCACACAATTGATAGAGTGTATTACATCCTACAAGTGATATTTCTAGTGTATAAACTTCCCACACAATTGATAAAGTGTATTACATCCCACAAGTGATATGATTAGTGCATAAACTTTCCACACTATTGATAGAGTGTATTATATTTCCACATTCCTCACAACTGACAGTTTTTTTTTGGGGGGGGGGGGGGGGGTGGTGGAGATGGGGGGGGGGGGGGGGGGGGGGGGGGGGGGGGGGGGGTATAAAGGTGTAATGTTTGTTTACATCTGAACACTTATCACCAAACTCCTACTCTAAGCTACATGGATCTCAGAAAACAAGAAATAAAACAGAACCTTTCCTGGCGTCCAGGGAATATTCTCTTGGAAGAAAATCTGCTGAACTCCAAGGTCACTTCTGATGTGTGGACTTGTACCAGAGCTTCTCGAACCAGCCAGATCTATCACACCATGCTCTGAGAGCACTTCAGCATCTTCCAGACCTACATCACAGCATTCCATGGGCTCAGCTAGATCACTCAGTGGGTAGGTGGGTTGCAGTTGTGTAGATCCTGGTACCACATCCGCACTCAAAGACATTATCATCACCTCATGCTTATTTGTTGGTGGCTGTGAACTGGTTGTAACCATAGATGAACCAAATGTTGATGAGCACTTTTGCCCTTGAAAGACACTGGAGGAATCAACAAAGCCTGGCAGAATTGTGGCTGCTGAACTCAAGCTGGTCTGTCCAATAGAGGACTCAGTTTTGGTATTTATCTCACCAGTGAGTGAGACATCCAGGCCAGAAATGGTTGGTTGTGGACTGGGATCTGAAGCAGCTGTTGATGCGACTTGTGATAGTTCACGAGAGTTCACTGTCAACAGTGACGGTTCACTATGAGATACCAGAGTTCCATGTGTGTCTGTGGATGCCTCCTGGAGATTCGGGGCTTTCAAATCACACTCTCTGATTGCCTTGTGAACATCGGGCATCTCCCACTCAGCATTTGTGGCTGCAGCATGAGTTTTTGTGCCTGCTATAGGAGTTTCTGAAGCTGCCATATAAAATGTGGCTGTAAGAGGTTCTGTGGCTGCAGCATGAGGTTCTTTGGTTCCAAAAAGAGGTTCTGTGACGGCCTTACGAAGTTCAGTGGCTGCCACAGGAGGCTCAGAGATGGCTGCCTCATGAGAATCTGTAGCAGCTGCCCTTTGAGGTTGTGTAGCTGCTCTGTGAGGTTCAGTAACAACCGTCTCTTGAGAATCTACAGTATCTGGAACATGAAGATCTTTGGCACTTGAATCTAAGGCATCAATATAATAATCAGTGCTACTAACTGAGTCACTGCAAGGCACAGGTTTTGAAAAAATCAGTTTGCTGTTAAGGATGGAGCCAGTTTCTTCTTCAGTATCAACAATATCTAATCGGATCCAGGAGCTGTCTGGCTTGATCTTTGAAGTTGGAGAGCCCCCAGAAGTCTGTTGGCAATAGGTGGAGCAACCCGAATGTGTCTCACTGTCCACCTCTGTCTCCTGAGTGAGCTCTGTGTCACAAGACGACCGCTCAAATGATGCTCTGGTAGTTGGCAGTGACAATGACAGACATTCACGACTGGCAGTTTCAGGTGGTGGAGAAGGCAGATCTGGCAACACTTCTTCCATGGAGTCGGCAGTGCGGCATTCTGTTTCCAGATCTGTACCCACTTGTAACATGTCTGTGTCATGCAGTTCATCTGTGGAGATAAAGGACAGAAAAGGACTATCAGACTAGAACCTGACTGACTATGTCTAGAGCAAAACATGAACATCAAGAGTAGAATATGACAATCATGAGTAGAACATGACTATCAAGAGTAGAACATGACTATCAAGAGTAGAACATGACTATCAAGAGTAAAATATGTCTATAAGGAGTAGAACATGGCTATCAAGAGCAGAACATAGCTATCAAGAGCAGAACATGACTATCAAGAGCAGAATATGACTATCAAGAGCAGAACATGACTATCAAGAGTAAAATATGTCTATAAGGAGTAGAACATGGCTATCAAGAGCAGAACATAGCTATCAAGAGCAGAACATGACTATCAAGAGCAGAATATGACTATCAAGAGCAGAACATGACTATCAAGAGTAAAATATGTCTATAAGGAGTAGAACATGGCTATCAAGAGCAGAACATAGCTATCAAGAGCAGAACATGACTATCAAGAGCAGAATATGACTATCAAGAGCAGAACATGACTATCAAGAGTAAAATATGTCTATAAGGAGTAGAACATGGCTATCAAGAGCAGAACATAGCTATCAAGAGCAGAACATGACTATCAAGAGCAGAATATGACTATCAAGAGCAGAACATGACTATCAAGAGTAAAATATGTCTATAAGGAGTAGAACATGGCTATCAAGAGCAGAACATAGCTATCAAGAGCAGAACATGACTATCAAGAGCAGAATATGACTATCAAGAGCAGAACATGACTATCAAGAGCAGAATATGACTATCAAGAGCAGAACATGACTATCAAGAGCAGAACATGGTTATCAAGAGCAGAACCTGACTATCAAGAGGAGAATATGGCTATCAATAGTAAAACATGGCTATAAATAGTAGAACATGGCTATCAATAGTAGAACATGACTATCAAGAGCAGAACATGGTTATCAAGAGCAGAACCTGACTATCAAGAGGAGAATATGGCTATCAATAGTAAAACATGACTATAAATAGTAGAACATGGCTATCAATAGTAGAACACGGTTATCAAGAGTAGAACATGGCTATCATACATTTGTATCTGGGACAAAGTTCAGATGGCATTGTTAGTGCTGAAAGGGTGGTGGCCCCCGCTTCACCCCCAGGAGTGGCAGGACTCCTTTTATTTCAAGCAGTGCTCTTCTTGGGTCAACCAGCAGTTCAGAAATGGAAACCAAACAATATTAAGAAATGCCTGTGAATGAAAAGTCATAAGAAGTGGAAATGACAAAGTCACACAATCAGTCAGCTTTGAAGCTCAATCAGTCAGCTAAACATTAGGTACGAAACACAAACAATCCGTCAGCTAAATATCAGGTATGAAACTCAAACAATCAGACAGCTAAACATCAGGTATGAAATTCAAACAATCAGACAGCTAAACATCAGGTATGAAATTCAAACAATCAGACAGCTAAACATCAGGCATGAAACTCAAACAATCAGTCAGCTAAACATCAGGTATGAAACTCAAACAATCCATCAGCTAAACATCAGGTATGAAACTTAAACAATCAGTCAGCTAAACATCAGGTATGAAACTCAAACAATCCGTCAGCTAAACATCAGGTATGAAACTCAAACAATCAGACAGCTAAACATCAGATGTGAAACTCAAACAGACAGCTAGACATTAGGTATGAAACTCAAATAGACAGCTAAACATTAGGTATGAAACTCAAATAGACAGCTAAACATTAGGTACGAAACTCAAATAGACAGCTAAACATTAGGTACGAAACTCAAACAGACAGCTAAACATTAGGTACGAAACTCAAACAATCAGACAGCTAAACATTAGGTGTGAAACTCAAACAGACAGCTAAACATTAGGTACGAAACTCAAACAATCAGACAGCTAAACATTAGGTATGAAACGCAAACAGACAGCTAAACATTAGGTATGAAACTCAAACAGACAGCTAAACATTAGGTAAGAAACTCAAATAGACAGCTAAACATTAGGTATAAAACTCAAATAGACAGCTAAACATTAGGTACCAAACTCAAACAATCAGACAGCTTAATGTTAACTATGAAACTCAAACAATCAGACAGCTTAATGTTAACTATGAAACTCAAACAATCAGACAGCTTAATGTTAACTATGAAACTCAAACAATCAGACAGCTTAATGTTAACTATGAAACTCAAACAATCAGACAGCTTAATGTTAACTATGAAACTCAAACAATCAGACAGCTTAATGTTAACTATGAAACTTAAACAATCAGACAGCCTAATGTTAACTATGAAACTCAAACAATCAGACAGCCTAATGTTAACTATGAAACTCAAACAATCAGACAGCTTAACATCAGGCATGAAACTCAAATAATACTACCTTGATATAGGGAACCAATCCACTCTTCCCCATGAGCCACACCCCCAGAGGCTGACAGCCAATCAGAGTGTGACATCATGTGGAAGAGATCTTCTCCTAAAAAAGACATGTCTGGTGGTTCAAGATCATCCTTTGCATTTTCATCCAACAGATTTTGATCGGATTTGCTGCGGAATATGTCTCTCTTGTTGCTGAAATTAACCAATGGGGAGAATTATTTCAAAGTAGAAATATTGCTGACTGTTGGTGAGATCAAAAATTGAGGAGAATGGTTTCAAGGTGGAAATATTCTTATTTGTTGATGAGATCAAAAGTTGAGGAGAATGGTTTTAAGGTGGAAATATTCTTGTTTGTTGGTCAGATCAAAAGTTGAGGAGAATGGTTTTAAGGTGGAAATATTCTTGTTTGTTGGTCAGATCAAAAGGTGAGGAGAATAGTTTTAAGGTGGAAATATTCTTGTTTGTTGGTGAGATCAAAAGTTGAGGAGAATGGTTTCAAGATGGAAATATTCTTGTTTGTTGGTGAGATCAAAAGTTGGATGATCACTAGCCAGGGAGACAGTGTATTGAGATGTTTGTCAAATGTAGGTTAAGATCTGTTTTTTCCCTTTATACTGTAGTCATCACCTCTTCTAGCCTTGGGTGTCAATGTGAACCATCGTCAAACATGTTCTCTTCCTTCTCTCTCTCTTATGAAAGGCAATGTATTTAAATTATTTTGATGTTTCTCTCTATTCTGGGACTTTGAGGTGCCTTATAGTCTTACATTTTTATTCTACTCTAGGAAGTAGATTTACCTTACCGTCTTGATAAAACATTTCATATTCTTACCTGGGATGTAGATTTACCTTACTGTCTTTATAAAACATTTTTTATTCTACCCTGGGATGTAGATTAACCTTACTGTCTTGATAAAACATTTCTTATTCTACCCTGGGATGTAGATTAACCTTACCATCTTGATTAAACATTTCTTATTCTACCCTGGGATTTAGAATTACCTTACTCTCTTGATAAAACATTTCTTACTCTACCCTGGGATGTAGATTAACCTTACTGTCTTGATAAAACATTTCTTACTCTACCCTAGTATGTAGATTTACCTTACTGTCTTGTTAAATCATTTCTTATTCTACCCTGGGATGTAGATTTACCTTACGGTCTTGATAAAACATTTCTTATTCTACCCTGGGATGTAGATTTATCTTACGGTCTTGGCTAGTCTTATCTCTCTAACCTAGGAAGTAGAAATGTCCTTCAGTCTTGTTCAGACTGTCCTCCTCTATCAAAGAAAAACAGCCCACACTGCTGGCTATAGCATACAACAAGTCTGCTCTCCAACTGCTGATCTCAGATGATAAATCAACATAGGGACTAGATGATGATAACAACAACCATATCCACTGCAGCAACAACAGTAGCAGCAACAACCACAACAATCACCACAATGACAACAACTACCACTACAACCACAAGAGCCACCACTATAACCACATCAGCCAATACTACAACCACAACAGTGACCACTACAACCACAACAGTGACCACAACAACCACAACAGTGACCACTACAACCACAACGGTGACCACTACAACCACAACAGTGACCACTACAACCACAACAGTGACCACTACAACCATAACAGTGACCACTACAACCATAACAGTGACCACTACAACCACAACAGTGACCACTACAACCACAACAGTGACCACTACAACTACAACAGTGACCACTACAACCATAACAGTGACCACTACAACCACAACAGTGACCCCCTACAACCACAACAGTGACCCCTACAACCACAACAGTGACCACTACAACCACAACAGTGACCACTACAACCACAACAGTGACCCCTACAACCACAACAGTGACCACTACAACCACAACAGTGACCACTACAACCACAACAGTGACCACTACAACCATAACAGTGACCACTAAAACCACAACAGTGACCACTACAACCACAACAGTGACCACTACAACCACAACAGTGACAACTACAACCACAACAGTGACCACTACAACCCTAAAAGTGACCACTACAACCACAACAGTGACCACTACAACCATAACAACAGTGACCACTACAATCACAACAGTGACCACTACAACCACAACAACAGTGACCACTACAACCACAACAACAGTGACCACTACAACCATAACAGTGACCACTACAACCATAAAAGTGACAACTACAATCACAACAGTGACCACTACAACCCTAAAAGTGACCACTACAACCACAACAGTGACCACTACAACCACAACAACAGTGACCACTACAACCATAACATTACCTGGCAGTCAGGATGCCCTGGTACATCTGGAGCTGCTCCATGAAGCCAGCATTTGGGTGCACACAGCTGCGCCGCTCCTTCACAAACTTGAAAGCCTCCTCCACCGTCCACCTGCGCTCTTTCATCAAGAAGGCCATCACCTGCCGTTGGAAGAAGACAACACGAGATCACAATGTCTCAGCAACATGCCAGGAGACAATATGTGAACGTATAGGAGAGGGGAAGGTAGGAAGGAGGCAAATGTATGGGAGAGGGAAATGTATGTAAGTAAAAAAAAAAAAGTACAGATCTCTTTTCACGCTTTTAGGTGCATCGGGCATATGGGAAGAGCACCCATATTTTTACAGGTCAATTGGCACTCGGTGGGTAATGTGGTCAGCATTACGCCGGCCGTCTTTACTTCCCCAGGACAGACATCCTGGTACCCATTTGAGGCTGGGAAATGTATGAGAGAGTATAAAATATAAGAGATGGAAAGGTATAGGAAAGTCAAAGGTGTGGAAGAGTTAAAGGTATTGGATAGTATAAGACATGGGAGATGATAAGGTATGGGGTAGGGAAAAGGTATGGGGTAAGGAGAAGGTATACAGTAGGGAAAGGAATAGGATAGGGGAAAAAATATGGGAGAGGAGTGTAGACTGAAAGTCAGACCAAGGAGAGATGACTGTTTGCATGTTTGTTAAAAAAAAAAAAAAAAAAACAATGTTGGGAGTTCCCCATGTGGGTTCTGGGGGCCCTGTTATAGGGAAAACAAGGATAGACCCACTGCCTATCCAAAATCATGTCGTAAAAATCGACTAACTGGAAGCTTCCTTTGAAGTCGGAGTGCAGTCTGCACACAAATGAGTCAGATCTGTCAAACGGATGCACACGCAACACTCAGGTTCTGGAACAGGACTGCAGTATGCAAGTGGATGAACAACCAGAACTTTCCGCCAGAGTTTACATCTGGTGAACATGAAGAAGAAGAAGAATGTTGGGGGTATACTCTTAGTGTTCCTGGGGTAGTGGATCAACTGTCAAGACTTCTCAGATAACAGGACAATGACTCCAAGGACATGTGTGCATGTTCCACCTGTGAGACATTATGGGCCATGGGAGACACTGGAAGAGAGGTTTACAGACATATGGCTGGCCCTGAATCTCAAGACAGCATCAACCATCTAACAAGAAGGGACCAGGCCACCATCTTCAGACTCAAAGAACGGGGGCTGCATTAGCGCAGTCGATAGGAGACTCACTTTCAAATCCAGCTGCGACTCGCTGCAGCCCATGGATGGTGTTCAAAACCTGGCGGTTCCCAGGGTTCACCCAGCCTCTAGGAAATGGGTACCAGAGTTAACGCTCTGGGGTAAATGGAGGAATGTCGCTGTAGCTACAGTTTCATACGAACAGTGACACAGACGGACAGTTTTTTTATCAGCTGTCCGTACTGGTGGCAGAGCACATATGGTTTGTAACTGTGTGCAATGACGCTGGTTCACATCTCCCGACTTTACCTTTACCTTTTTTTAAGACTCAGAACAAAACATTTTCCACTCAATGGTCATCGAAACAGAATACAGCCACAACACTCCTCAGCGTGCCAGCTATGTAACTACCACTATAAAACTGTTGACCGTCATCTCTCTGCGTGCCCAAAATAACCTTCGAGACCAGGCAAGTGGAACACCTTGTATTGAGGAAAAGGACAGCTTGTGAAAATATGTAAATTCCACTCCATGGCACTGGGCCAAAGCTGACCAGCCTGACAGCGCCGCTGGATCGATAATAACAACAATAACCTGTGACACATACCTGGACAGCTGGCATTGTCAAGATCAGGCCAGACTAACCGACTGCTGAACTACGAACTTGTCCATGTTTTGTCCACACACAAATAACAAACAGAAATAGAACAAAACTGGAAACTAGAATGTTGACAGCACACACGATTCTGGTATTGTGACGTTACGACCCACTCCCTTGGAATGTACAACACTTTTAGTGTGACGTCCCGGGTCGTGGGTTCTCTGGATTTGGGTTTAAATGATTTATATGTTGAGTAGGGATTTTCCTCTTAACACATCCCCTCCACCAGATTAACTGAACTATTAACCGGGCTATGTTGCTCCCAGACAAAGTCCTGGATATCCAAGAAAACAGCCATATTGGCTCGTTATTTATATTAACTTTAGCTGAACTTGGTACCCACCAGAGAAGGAAATGGGTTTTAGATGTCTATATATATATATATATATATATATTTATATTGAATGAGTTATTAGACAGGGCAGTTGACCCAATCCGTCGACCTTCTCTGGGTAAAGAAATTTTATTATTATTTAATGAGCCCCCACCAAATGCTATTTTATCTTAACAGTTTAATTAAACGTGTAAGAACAGACACATTTGGAATTACAAAAACTGATGCAGGATAAGACCATATATTTGATTTATTAACCTAGCAATCAGAGTATGACATTAGTCATCATTATTGTTATAATAGATAGTGATGGTATGGTGATAATGAGAGGCTTCAGCTAGATAACTGAGCACCTAAGATTAGAATGAATGATAATGGTGGTGTTTAGTTACATAAATACATGTTACATAACTTTTTAGAAAGTGGAACCTCTGAGAGTCCTCGTGTTGAGTCCCTTCTTGACTGTTCAAATCTTTCCGCCCAGTTCTCCTGGTCCTTCCACCTGGTTCCCACCTGTTTCCCAGCTGGCCGAGTTCTAGCACAATGTAGTCTCGTGACCGTGATGACCCTCTATTTCTGTTCTTAGAAACGACTGATCCTCACCCACATGGGAGCTGGAAACTTCCAGCAATCGCCAAACTAGAATCAAACCATTAGATTTACCTCTAAGGTCGACCTGTTTGTTGCCTGTGGCAGCGATTATGACAGAAATTCCAGGGCTAGTCTTATTAATACCCCTATCTGTCTGCAAGGTTAACTCCACCCTCTTCTAGGTTCTACCCAACTCTCAAGGAGATGACTTAAGCCCCGCCTCTGAGGTACGTAGCAGATCAACTTAGCTAACAAGTAACCTGTCACTCAATTCTGGACTGACATCCCTAGAGCACACATTCTTAAGTGACCCAATCTAGTTTACAACGAATCTAACTGGCAGATGTTAAAAGACGGTCAGTGAAGCCATTGTGTTTCCTACTTGACCAAGATCAAACATTCCTAATTGCCAAACATCTATTCTCTTGAGAATTTCACTATCATGTGTGAAACTTCAGACGCTGGACGCCGGCCCCACTCAGTGTGTGTTAGGTACCCTTTTATGACACTACGGTCGGATTCAGGGGAGCTAATCAGGTGTGATACGAAGTTATCTCCCCCTTTACTTGCCTCTACAGACTGGGCAGGAGATAAAATTTATGACATGGACACGAGAAAGGAATTCCTAGCCAAGGTAATATTACCTAAAGCAAGGTTGCTTTGTCTGGCTAGAGATTGGAAACGCAGTTTAAACAATTCTCAAATCCCTTATAGTGGTTTTAGAACTATTTTAGGCTCAGTGTCTATTGCTTTTAATTCTTTGTCCTTCTCTGAACATAAGAAATTATTAAACACAATATAACTTCTGAGACCACTGAGGTCATTTCGTCACAGGTATACATACACTGGGATCCTCCCTAGTGATACAGAGTTTGTACATTGTACTGAGACTTTCACTTTGTGCTCTACAGGAGGAGACTGAGACATTTATAATTTAAAGACATCTGGCTTCTCTAGAGTAGGAGACTGAGCCACTCCTGAGAATATATGTGTGCAAGCTGCTAGGAAACTGAAACAAACACATACAGAGCCGAGGTGGACCAAGGAGTCTGTATGGTCTAGGCTTGTCAACTTTATGGTCATGATGTTCTTTTGCCTTGACAGTAATACTACTATTTCTGGTTGACTTCAAGTGGTAATGTTCATTCTGATACAGTTTAAACACTTAAATATCAATCAAAACAATGGACCCTTTTCACTCCAACTCAGGTACACAGACAAGCCTAATAGTCACCCCTGGGAAAACAATGACAGACAAGCCTGATAGTCACTCCAGGACAAACAATGACAGACCAGCCTGACAGCTACTCCAGGACAAACAATGACAGACCAGCCTGACAGCTACTCCAGGACAAACAATGACAGACCAACCTGACAGCTACTCCAGGACAAACAATGACAGACCAACCTGACAGCTACTCCAGGACAAACAATGACAGACCAACCTGACAGCTACTCCAGGACAAACAATGACAGACCAACCTGACAGCTACTCCAGGACAAACAATGACAGACCAGCCTGACAGCTACTCTAGGACAAACAATGACAGACCAGCCTGACAGCTACTCCAGGACAAACAATGACAAACCAGCCTGACAGCTACTCCAGGACAAACAATGACAGACCAGCCTGACAGTCACTCCAGGACAAACAATGACAGACCAGCCTGACAGTCACTCCAGGACAAACAATGACAGACCAGCCTGACAGCTACTCCAGGACAAACAATGACAGACCAGCCTGACAGTCACTCCAGGACAAACTTCTTCTTCTTTCGTTCGCATGAAATAAATTGTCTATATCTGCAAAGCCGTCTCTTGTATGAATTTCACTGTCTTTTGTAATTCACTAAACGGCCCGTAAAGTTTGACTTCCACAAGTGTCTCTTTTGGCCAAATGTTTTGCCTGAAAGCGTTGAATATGGGACAGTCTTGAAGGATGTGATCTGTTGTTTCAGGTGCCAGTCCACAAGTACACATGGCGGATTGGCCAATCTTAAATTTTTTGTACATGTGGGAGCGAAGTCTATTGTGCCCTGTTCTAAGGCGAAGGATAATAACTTGCTCTGGTCTGTCCATAATATGGTAATCATCTTGTGCCAGTTGCGGTGGCATTCTGATTGATTTGATCATTCTCTTCTTCTGTTGATAAGAGACTGGTATGTCAGGTTGTTCTTCAGTTGCACCTTCCTTAGCTAGTTTATCAGCTTTTTCGTTTCCGGGAACTCCACAGTGGGAAGGTATCCACTGCATTACTAATTTACAGCGGTTGCCTAGTTCGGATAATAGTGTCCATATGCTTGGTAATTTTCCAGACTGGAGTGACTGAAGTACTGCTTTTGCATCTGTCAGGAATACCACTGGTTGTGAAAAATACCCTGTATTTAGTAGTTTCTCTACCGCTATCTTGATGGCTTGAACTTCTGCATCATAGTTGTGACAGTGCTTTCCCGTTGGTAATTTGGCTGTATCCCTGGTATTATTAGGATACTCAATGTACACTCCCGCACCTCCGTTTCTGACTGCGCTTTCTGCTGACCCATCTGTGTAAACACGGACCCAAAGGTTCTGCGGGTATTCATCATCAAGTAAACTGAGGGTGGCTGTTTTGCGCTGCACACTGTTTTGTTCTTCCTTGTCAAATACCCCTTTCACTTCAGTCTTGATGTGTATTGGAAACTTATACTCCTCTCTCCAGGGGGTCCGTTCTGGGACAGCATCTAAGGATCTATCAGTTGCAGGTAAATCAGTGGTTTGTCTGCCGAGCCGTTTGGCCTGGTGGATAAAACTACTTCTCTTTAGACGTCCCAAAGCTAAATTTTTGAATCTTTCATTCATAGGGTGACTGGGCATACTAAGAAACTTTTCTGCTTGTAAAAGCATCTTGGTGTCTCTGCGTTCACTTAGTGCTTGGGTCATCCCCATTTTCTCCATCACAGCTATAGGTGTTGATTTCATACTGCCTGTGGTAACTCTGAGTGCTTGATTTTGCACTTTGTCTAATTCTTGCAATGTGGTTTTTGATGCCGAACTCCATGCTGTTGATCCGTATTCAAGATGTGGTCGAACACTTTGTTGGTAAACTTTTCTAAGTATTTTCCCGCTAGCACCCCAGGTGGTTCCACTTAGTTTTCTCAGAATGGCTACCCTCCTTCTGGCTTTGGTTGCTGCCTTGTTGATGTGTTTTCTCCATGTTAATCTATCATCAAACGTTACGCCGAGGTATGTGGGCTCCTTATCCTCTCTCAGGGGTACTCCATTTATGTGCATGGCGCCTGATTTTTTGTTTAGGAGAAAGGGTAAAGAGAGTGGTGCTGCATTTGCCTATGTTGATGCTGACACACCATTTGTCGGCCCATTTAGCCATTGCATCTATGGCTCTTTGTAGCAGTCTGGTGGCCACTGTCGCATTTTCATTTGTACACCAGAGTACCAAGTCATCAGCATACATTGCAGCTTTAATTCCATGGGGTAGTTCAGATAGCAGGTCGTTGATATAGACTAGGAAGAGTGTGGGGGACAGGACACCTCCTTGTGGGACGCCATGGCGCAGCAAAACTTTCTTGCTCTTAAGTCCATCTATCTGTACTCGGGATCTTCTGTTATACAAGTATGCTTTGACCCATTTGTACATACTCCCATTCACCCTGCAGTCTCTCAGTTTCTTCAGTAGACCTTCTTTCCAGACCTTGTCAAAGGCTTTCTTCAGATCTATCCATGCCGTTAGCACTAGCTTCTTTTCCTGGAAGGCATCCTCAATTTCTTGTGAAAGGTAAGTTGTCTGGTCTTCTGTGGAGTAGCACTGTCTAAATCCTGCCTGCTGCGGCGTGAAAATGTTTTCACTTTCCAAGTACCATTGGAGTCTAAGGTTGACAATACGTTCCATTGTTTTACAGAGGCAGCTGGTAAGACTGATCGGTCTATAGCTGGAGGCATCAGAACTGTCCTTTCCTGGTTTAAGCAGAGGTATTGTGATTGCTTCTCTCCATATTTGAGGAACTTTGCCACTGGTCCAACAATGATTAAAGATCTGTAGCAGCTTTTTTTTGGCAGTTGTTCCAAGGTTCTTGATCATTTCGTTGGTGATTCCATCAGTTCCAGGTGATTTTCCCATTCTCAGCTTTGATATTGCTAATTCTAACTGGATGTAAATGCTGCCACCAGTGCCTCAGGAATTATATCTTTTTGTCTTGTATGTTGTTTGTTTTCTTGAACCTCTCGCTGTTTCTCTGGGCTGACATTAATGTTGCTGTCTTCTGCAAAGAAATCTGCAAAGTGGTCAGCTGCCTGTTTTCTTGTTAGGATGGCTCCCTCTTTGCACAGTGCAATATAACCATTTCTCCCTGTATTCTCATCATTAATTTGCTTAATTAACCTCCACAACTTCCTTGTGTCTCTTTCAAAGTTTAGGGACTTTGTCTTTTCCTGCCAGCTTCTCCGTCTAGCCTGCAGTTTGGCTCTTTGAAATTTGGCCTTTGAATGTTGGTAGTTGTTAAACTGCTCTTGACAAGGTCTGGTCTCAGCCTGTTTTCTTTCTGTTTCCATATTGTTGTGCAGTTGCTCCAGATCGCAATTCCAGTACGGTTTGTATTGTTTACGCGCACCTCTTGGAACTGCTTCTAGGGCTGCCTGCAGTATGTGTTTGCTCAACTCTTGGACTACTTTTTTTACGTCATTATCTGTGTTAAGATTTTCCAGCAGAACATTTGTGCGAAGCTGATATAACTTCCAGTCTGCCTTCTTAAAATTCCACCTTGGCAGTGTGCTGCTCTCTCTTACAGACTGGCTTTCGATAGTTAGAAAGACTGGCCGGTGGTCACTGCCTCCTAGTTGCTTCCCAACAGTTCTGGTAACATTCAGTTCCATGTCTGCTGAGTGAAAGGCTAGGTCTGGTGTCGAGGTGGTATGCCATGCTCTAGAGTAGAAGGTTGGTGGGTCGGTTGGCTTATTTACGAGGATGAATCTATTCTCATCCTGCCAGTCCTCTAGTTTCTCTCCTCTCTGGTCCATATGATCGTAGCCCCAACTTTGGGAATGGCTATTAAAATCCCCACAAATGATCATTTTTTCACTTATTAGTACAGTATCCAGTGCCTGAGGGCGGTCGCTCGGACAGTAATAGTTGGTCAGATGTAAATCTGTATTTTCTAACTTGAGCTCAAGAGTTTGATACTCAGCACCTTCCATGTATGTTTCAATCCGGCCAGCAAGGATGTTATTTTTGACCAGGGTAAGAATTCCACCTTTTCTCCTGTCTTTGCGGTCAGATCGGAAACACTGGTAGCCTCTGATCTTAAAGGCCATATCTTGTTTGAGATACGTCTCTTGTAGGCAGCATACAGCCACTCCAGGACAAACAATGACAGACCAGCCTGACAGTCACTCCTGGACAAACAATGACAGACCAGCCTGACAGCTACTCCAGGACAAACAATGACAGACCAGCCTGACAGCCACTCCAGGACAAACAATGACAGACCAGCCTGACAGCTACTCCAGGACAAACAATGACAGACCAACCTGACAGCCACTCCAGGCAAACAATGACAGACCAGCCTGACAGCTACTCCAGGACAAACAATGACAGACCAGCCTGACAGCCACTCCAGAACAAACAATGACAGACCAGCCTGACAGCCACTCAAGGACAAACAATGACAGACCAACCTGACAGCCACTCGTGGACAAACAATGACAGAACAGCCTGACAGCTACTCTAGGACAAACAATGACAGACCAGCCTGACAGCTACTCCAGGACAAACAATGACAGACCAACCCGACAGCCACTCCAGGACAAACAATGACAGACCAGCCTGACAGCCACTCAAGGACAAACAATGACAGACCAACCTGACAGCCACTCCTGGACAAACAATGACAGAACAGCCTGACAGCTACTCCAGGACAAACAATGACAGACCAGCCTGACAGCTACTCCAGGACAAACAATGACAGACCAACCTGACAGCCACTCCAGGACAAACAATGACTGACCAGGCTGACAGCCACTCCTGGACAAACAATGACAAACAACAATAATATAGGTGTGCTAGACATACTCACCGTAGAGGCCGAACGGCTGACTCCCATCTTACAGTGAACCAGTACCTTGGAATTCTGACTCCTGCACAAATCAAGGAGATAAAATATACAGAATATTAGAAAACTACCAAATAAAAATTATCAGATTATCTGCAGAAACAGCCACTGAGATCAGCAATACAAAGGAAACAGAAGACCACAAAAACTAGAAGGATACAACAAGTGCAATAAAAGAAAAAAAAAAGGAAAAACAGAGTTGAGGAGGATGTTGGTTGTCTAGACTTCTGCTAGCAGATGAGGTCACTGCCTTCTTCAGGTTCTGTCCTACAACACCTAATGAAACATCAGCCCTCAACCACTCAACAACTAGCCCTTTATACATTTGTTTATGACCTAGTTTGATGCTGTCAGCCAGTGTCTGACCTAGTTTGATGCTGTCAGCCAATGTCTGACCTAGTTTGATGCTGTCAGCCAATGTCTGACCTAGTTTGACGCTGTCAGCCAATGTCTGACCTAGTTTGATGCTGTCAGCCAGTGTCTGACCTAGTTTGATGCTGTCAGCCAATGTCTGACCTAGTCTGATGCTGTCAGCCAATGTCTGACCTAGTCTAATATTCCTGAAGGATGGACTGACCTGGCCTTGGAGATAAACTTGTATGTCTTGTCCCAGTGTTTCAGCAAGTCAGAACTGTCCTCGTCATAGACCCGCACGTTGTAGTAGTGGAACCTGCCCTCAAAGAAGTTGTCAATCTCCTTGGTGATGTTGAGGATGTAGTCAATGCTGCAACAGGAAGACACAAGAACATTAGCGGCTGCACCTTTCATGGCTTATATTTAACTCTAAGTACTTCTTTACTTCTCCTTACAGCGCTGTGACTGTCCTGGGAATTGTATAAAGTAGAACAACTTATTTGTTTAATCAACAACGTACTTGTGCCACATCAACAACCCACTGACGTCCCATCAACAATCCATTTGTGTCCCATCAACAACCCACTTGTGTCCCATCAACAACCCACTTGTGTCCAAATTCCCACTTGTGTCCCAATAATTACCTACTTAACCAACTGGTGCCCCATGAACTACTCAGATGCTAACCTATTTTTTTCCTGACCCATTCTCTATTATGTACATGATAGGCACATACACAACAGTTAAGCTGCAACAGACACTCAAAATTATGGCAGAATTAAACAGCAGATTAAACGTGAGTGGTTTACCCTTTCTCTTGGAGCTCTTCTAAATTGGAGGCATTCCATTCAGATCCCAGGAAAAGAAAATCTAAGATCTCTGAGGGTTCATCCATCTGACCCACAATCCTCATAACTTCCTCATCAAAGTAGCCTTTGAATCCCGAAAGAGACAAGTTCATTTTCTCCTCAACAGCTTTCCGTAACTGGGGAACATAAACAACTTTTTATAAGTGGGGAACATAAACAACTTTTTATAAGTGAGGAACACAAACAGCTTTCCGTAACTGTGGAACATAAACAACTTGCTGTAAGTGTGAAATATAAACAACTTTCTGTAAGTGTGGAACATAAACAACTTTCTGTAAGTGTAAAACATAAACAACTATCTGTAAGTGTGAAACACAAAAAACTTTCTGTAAGTGTGGAACATAAACAACTTTCTGTCGATGTGGAACATAAACAACTTTCTGTAAGTGTGGAACATAAACAACTTTCTGTAAGTGGGGAACATAAACAACTTTCTATAAGTGAGGAACATAAACAACTTTCTATAAGTGGGGAACATAAACAACTTTCTATAAGTGAGGAACATAAACAACTTTCTATAAGTGAGGAACATAAACAACTTTCTATAAGTGAGGAACACAAACAACTTTCTGTAAGTGTGAAACATAAACAACTTTCTGTCAGTGTGGAACATAAACAACTTTCTGTAAGTGTGGAACATAAACAACTTTCTGTAAGTGTGGAACATAAACAACTTTCTGTAAGTGTGAAATATAAACAACTTTCTGTAAGTGTGGAACATAAACAACTTTCTGTAAGTGTAAAACATAAACAACTATCTGTAAGTGTGAAACACAAAAAACTTTCTGTAAGTGTGGAACATAAACAACTTTCTGTCGATGTGGAACATAAACAACTTTCTGTAAGTGTGGAACATAAACAACTTTCTGTAAGTGTGAAACATAAACAACTTTCTGTCAGTGTGGAACATAAACAACTTTCTGTAAGTGTGGAACATAAACAACTTTCTGTAAGTGTGGAACATAAACAACTTGCTGTAAGTGTGAAATATAAACAACTTTCTGTAAGTGTGGAACATAAACAACTTTCTGTAAGTGTAAAACATAAACAACTATCTGTAAGTGTGAAACACAAAAAACTTTCTGTAAGTGTGGAACATAAACAACTTTCTGTCGATGTGGAACATAAACAACTTTCTGTCAGTGTGGAACATAAACAACTTTCTGTAAGTGTGGAACATAAACAAATTTCTGTAAGTGTGGAACATAAACAACCTTCTGTAAGTGTGGAACATAAACAACTGTCTGTCAGTGTGGAACATAAACAACTTTCTGTAAGTGTGGAACATAAACAACTTTCTTTAAATGTGGAACATAAACAACTTTCTGTAAGTGTGGAACATAAACAACTTTATATAAGTGAGGAACATAAACAACTTTATGTAAGTGTAGAACATAAACAACTTTCTGTAAGTGTTGAACATATACAACTTTCTGTAAGTGTGGAACATAAACAACTTTCTGTAAGTGTGGAACATAAACAAATTTCTGTAAGTGTGGAACATAAACAACCTTCTGTAAGTGTGGAACATAAACAACTGTCTGTCAGTGTGGAACATAAACAACTTTCCGTAAGTGTGGAACATAAACAACTTTCTTTAAATGTGGAACATAAACAACTTTCTGTAAGTGTGGAACATAAACAACTTTATATAAGTGAGGAACATAAACAACTTTATGTAAGTGTAGAACATAAACAACTTTCTGTAAGTGTTGAACATATACAACTTTCTGTAAGTGTGGAACATAAACAACTTTCTGTAAGTGTGGAACATAAACAACTTTCTGTAAGTGTGAAATATAAACAACTTTCTGTCAGTGTGGAACATAAACAACTTTCTTTACGTGTGGAACATAAACAACTTTCTGTAAGTGTGGAACATAAACAACTTTCTGTAAGTGTGGAACATAAACAACTTTCTGTGTGTGTGAAACATAAACAACTTTCTGTAAGTGTGGTATATAAACAACTTTCTGTAAGTGTGGAACATAAACAACTTTCTGTAAGTGTGAAACATAAACAACTTTCTGTACGTGTGGAACATAAACAACTCTCTGTAAGTGTGGAACATAAACAACTTTCTGTAAGTGTGGAACATAAACAACTTTCTGAAAGTGTGGAACATAAACAACTTTCTGTAAGTGTGGAACATAAACAACTTTTTGTAAGAGTGGAACATAAACAACTTTCTGTAAGTGTGGAACATAAAAAACTTTCTGTAAGTGTGGAACATAAACAACTTTCTGTAAGTGTGGAACATAAACAACTTTATATAAGTGAGGAACATAAACAACTTTAAGTGTAGAACATAAACAACTTTCTGTAAGTGTTGAACATATACAACTTTCTTTAAGTGTGAACAACTTTCTGTCAGTGTGGAACATAAATAACTTTCTGTAAGAGTGGAACATAAAAAAATTTCTATAAGAGTGGAACATAAACAACTTTCTATAAGAGTGGAACATAAACAACTTTCTATAAGAGTGGAACATAAACAACTTTCTATAAGAGTGGAACATAAACAACTTTCTATAAGAGTGGAACATAAACAACTTTCTATAAGAGTGGAACATAAACAACTTTCTAAAAGAGTGGAACATAAACAACTTTCTGTAAATGAAACAAGGAAAGGTTAAGCTGAGTCAAGAACTAACATCACAGCATTCAGGAAACTGACATAAGTACTCAACCACCATCTTTAACAGCCAGCAAGTACATTTCCATTCAGACAGTACCAGTAACAGTCTAACTGTATGTTCTTGTAGCCTTTCTTCTCTGACCGTAACACTAACTGTATGTTTTTGTAGCCTTTCTTCTCTGACTGTAACACTAACTGTATGTTCTTGTACCCTTTCTTCTCTGACTGTAACACTAACTGTATGTTCTTGTAGCCTTTCTTCTCTGACTGTAACACTAACTGTATGTTCTTGTAGCCTTTCTTCTCTGACTGTAACACTAACAGTATGTTCTTGTAGCCTTTCTTCTCTGACTGTAACACTAACTGTATGTTCTTGTAGCCTTTCTTCTCTGACTGTAACACTAACTGTATGTTCTTGTAGCCTTTCTTTTCTGACTGTAACACTAACTGTATGTTCTTGTAGCCTTTCTTCTCTGACTTTAACACTAACTGTATGTTCTTGACCGTAACAGATGCACAAACGATGAATAAACTCACAGATGAAAAGACAGAACAGACGGTAAACCTCAGCAGAGCTGAATGTTGTGGATCAGAGACACACATAAACAGTCAGGACTTCACAGCAGCAGTCTGAAAATCTGCAGCAGGTGGGATGTCTATCAACTCTTCTAAAGTAAGGCCTGTTATGTCAATAATCACTACAGACCACAACAAGGGGAATCTCAGCTCAGTGCATGAACTCCCCAGCATCACTGACAAATCCAGTGTGTCTACATCAGAGTCACACATGCTGTAGGTGTCCCCCTTGTAGCCTGCTTTCCTAGAGCCAACAGTGAGTCAGGCCACTTGCCAAGGTGGCTTTTACTGTCCAATGACCAAGTACAGCAAAGAGTTTCATCGTGATCATTGTGTACAGATGACCTGTCAGATCATAGCTGCCTGTGTGTGAGGAAGTTGTATGTGAGATAGTTGTATGTGAGGAAATTGTATGTGAGATAGTTGTATGTGAGAAAGTTGTATATGAAGAAGTTGTATGTAAAGAAGTTGTATATGAGATAGTTGTATGTGAGGAAACTATGTGAAGAAGTTTTATGTGAAGAAGTTGTATTTGTGGAAGTTGTATGTGAGGAAGTTGTATGTGATAAAGTTGTGTGTGAAGAAGTTGTATGTGAGATAGTTGTATGTAAAGAAGTTGTATATGAGATAGTTGTATGTGAGAAAGTTGTATATGAAGAAGTTGTATGTAAAGAAGTTGTATATGAGATAGTTGTATGTGAGGAAACTATGTGAAGAAGTTTTATGTGAAGAAGTTGTATTTGTGGAAGTTGTATGTGAGGAAGTTGAATGTGATAAAGTTGTGTGTGAAGAAGTTGTATGTGAGGAAGCTGTATGTTCAGTCCACTACACCCAGGCATTGATAAAGACAAAGATATCTCTATTTTTGTCACTTTATATTCAAACTGTCCACACATCCACATTCACTCTCCACACTCAGACTGATAACAAGTGTGCGTGAGTCAGCGGCAGACATGACACACCCACATTCAGACTCTCCACACATAGGCTGCTACCAAGTGTGCGTAAGTCAGTGGCGGACATCACACAACCATAACACACACTCCACACACAGAAAACTAGCAACTGTACGTGAGTCAGTGGCAGACATCACACAACCACATACACACACTCCCCACAAAGATGCTAGCAAGTGTGAGTGAGTTAGTGACAGACATCACATAGCCACATTCACACACTCAACACAGAGATGCTAGCAAGTGTGGGTGAGTCAGCTGCAGACATCAAACACCTACAATCACACACTCCCCACAAAGATGCTAGCATGTGTGGGTGAGTCAGTGACAGACATCACACACCCACATTTACACACTCCACACACAGACAGCTAGCAATTGTATGTGAGTCAGTGACAGACATCACACACCTACATTCACACACAGACAGCTAGCAAGTGTGGGTGAGTCAGTGACAGACATCATACACCCACATTCACACACACACTCCATACAAGGACAGCTAGCAAGAGTGGGTGAGTGGGTGGCAGACATCACACACCCACACCATCTGCCATGTTAATCAGGTGACAGTCTGGGTATGAAGCTACTGACCTGATGTCTGTCTGCACTTACCATGTCTGTCTGCACTTACCATGTCTGTCTGCACTTACCATGTCTGTCTGCACTTACCATCAAGGATGTGGCCTCATCCAAATCAACAGTCATCATCACTTCCTTCAGCGTGTGGCTGATGGCCAGTTTAATCCTCTCATCGCCACTGGTGACAACAAAACAATCACAATTCAGGTACACACTTCACATCAACCATGGAGACAACAAAACAATCACAATTCAGGTATATACTTCACATCAACCATGGAGACAACAAAACAATCACAATTCAGGTACATACTTCACATCAACCATGGAGACAACAAAACAATCACAATTCAGGTACATACTTCACATCAACCATGGAGACAACAAAACAATCACAATTCAGGTATATACTTCACATCAACCATGGAGACAACAAAACAATCACAATTCAGGTATATACTTCACATCAACCATGGAGACAACAAAACAATCACAATTCAGGTATATACTTCACATCAACCATGGAGACAACAAAACAATCACACTTCAGGTACACACTTCACATCAACCATGGAGACAACAAAACAATCACAATTCAGGTATATACTTCACATCAACCATGAAGACAACAAAACAATCACACTTCAGGTACACACTTCACATCAACCATGGAGACAACAAAACAATCACAATTCAGGTACACACTTCACATCAACCATGGAGACAACAAAACAATCACAATTCAGGTACACACTTCACATCAACCATGGAGACAACAAAACATTCACAATTCAGGTACACACTTCACATCAACTATAACAACAAAACAATCACACTTTAGGTACACACTTCATATCAACCATGGAGACAACAAAACAATCACAATTCAGATACACACTTCACATCAACCATGGAGACAACAAAACAATCACAATTCAGATACACACTTCACATCAACCATGGAGACAACAAAACAATCACAATTCAGGTACACACTTCACATCAACCATGGAGACAACAAAACAATCACAATTCAGGTACACACTTCACATCAACTATAACAACAAAACAAAGCTGACAGTACAGACACTTACAGCTTACAATAATACAGATAACAAAAATGACTTATACACATATGCCACAGCTATGTTTCTGTTCAACTCTTTCTCTTCTGTGTTCACTGGGTGTAAACTCTTGTGTAGTTATGATTATTCGTCCATCTCTGACGTCGGTCCTGCTCCAGAACATGAGTCTTCTGTGCTCATCCATTTGACACATCTGATTTATTTGTGTGCAGACTGTTGGCTGCTCCCCTCTAAGGCTTTGAAAGAAAACTCACAAATTAACAACCTTTTGCGACATGGTTTAAACAGGGAGTGGTGAGGTAGGGTGGGTGTTGGGGGTGGGTGGTAGAGTGGGTCTATTCTTTTATCCTAAAACGGGGCACTGAAGTCCAAAGGAGGATTCCCTGTTTAACTTATTCTATACCATATTTGCTACTACACAGTTTGATTTTTTCCCTCCAACATTGCAACCTTGTTTAACTGATTCTCTATTCCATCTTTGCTGCTACACAGTTTGATTTTTCCCCTCCAAATTGCAACTTTGTTTAACTGACTCTCTATTCTATCTTTGCTGCTACACAGTTTGATGTTTTCCCTCCAACATTGCAACTTTGTTTAACTGACTCTCTATTCTATCCTTGCTGCTACACAGTTTGATGTTTTCCCTCCAACATTGCAACTTTGTTTAACTGACTCTCTATTCCTCCTTTGCTGTCACACAGTTTGATGTTTTCCCTCCAACATTTTAACATTTTTTTAACTGACTCTCTATTCTATCTTTGCTGCTACACAGTTTGATGTTTGACCCCCCCCCCTCCCCCCCAACATTCCAACCTTGTTTAACTGACTCTCTATTCTATCTTTGCTGCTACACAGTTTGATGTTTTTCCTCCAACATTTCAACCTTGTTTAACTGACTCTCTATTCCATCTTTGCTACTACACAGTTTGATGTTTTCCCTCCAACATTGCAACTTTGTTTAACTGACTTTCTATTCTATCTTTGCTGCTACACAGTTTGACAACTTTGTTTAACTGACTCTCTATTCCTCCTTTGCTATCACACAGTTTGATGTTTTCCCTCCAACATTTTAACCTTTTTTTAACTGACTCTCTATTCTATCTTTGCTGCTACACAGTTTGATGTTTTCCCCCCAACATTCCAACCTTGTTTAACTGACTCTCTATTCTATCTTTGCTGCTACACAGTTTGATGTTTTTCCTCCAACATTGCAACCTTGTTTAACTGACTCTCTATTCTATCTTTGCTGTTACACAGTTTGATGTTTTCCCTCCAACATTTCAACCTTGTTTAACTGACTCTCTATTCCACCTTTGCTACTACACAGTTTGATGTTTTCCCTCCAACACTGCAACCTTGTTTAACTGACTCTCTATTCCATCTTTGCTACTACACAGTTTGATGTTTTCCCTCCAACATTTCAACCTTCCCCCAACCCCCACCTTGTCTGACCTATATTCAGTTACTGTTTATCCCAGTTATTTTGCTGAAATGCATGCTGACCATAGATAAAGATAAGATGTGGCACACACAAAAACGTACTCGCTTGACTGGATGGAGAGACTCGAGGGGGCAAATACCTCTACACCTTCAATGTTCCTGAAATAAACATGGGAAAAGGTTAAACATACACACAGAAAGGAGAAACATACATGCTGAAAGGTTAAACATACACGATGAATGGTTAAACAAAGGTGATGAAATGTTGAACACACACGAGGAAGTGACAGAATATTATCTCTATGAATGTCTACCTCAAGCGATTTTACACCCTTGTTACTGCATAGGCACCCACTCTAACGTCAACAGAGGACAGAAAGGATTTTTTTTATGAGGAACTGGATAGTGCAGTGAAAGCAATTCCTAAATCTGACGGCATCTATATACTTGGTAATTTTAATGCTCACGTGGGGTCAGACTCAAACTAATGGCCAGTTTGTCTTGAAAAATATAATGTTGGCCTCATAAATGAAAATGGGCAGAAACTACTGGAATTCTGCACTAGAAGTGACTCATGCATCACAAACTCCTTTTTCAAAACTAAAGACCGCCATAAGGTGTCATGGAAACATCCAAGATCTGGCCACTGGCACCAGCTGGACCTTATTCTCACAAGAAAGTAGCACTTAAACTGTGTATCACTAACTAGCAGCTACCACAGTGCTGAATGTGATACTGACCATACCCTAGTTGCTACAAAAGTTTGAATGAAACCAAAAAGAATTTTGACTTAAAAAAACAAATATATCCCTAGGTTAAATATTTCCAAAACAAGGGTGATCAGAATGACTGCAATAACTAAAATTGTTCTGCGAAGACTGCAGATCCTGGGAGACCGGGTTTACCCAGAGTCCCGGTGTGCCTTTCGTGGGAACCGGTCTACCACCGATATATTTTCATTACGACAGTTGCAGGAAAAATGCCACAAACAAAATCAACCTCTGTATGTTGCTTTTATTGATCTTACCAAGGCATTTAATTTGGTTAGTCAAAAAGGTCTGAAGAAGATTGGGTGTCCACCTACCCTACTGAGCATTATTGAGTCGTTCCACACAGGTATGAAAGGTACAATCAACTTTGAGGGTGTAACATCGGAGGAGTTTGTAATCAAAAATGTAGTGAAGCAGGGGTGTGTACTTGCTCCAACTCTCTTTGGAATATACTGTTCATTTCTTTTGTAACATGCCTTTCAAGGTCAGGAGGGTGGTATATACATCCATTCTCGATCTGGCCCGGCTCTCTAGCGTAGTTGGCTGAACCGGATTGCGCGGAGACCGGGTGACGAACTGCTTGTGGTCCGGGTTCGATCCCGGGGGTAGGCAGGAAAGCCACATTTCTCCCAGATTTACGGTATTTACAATGGAATCAAGGCCGAAAGGTTGCGATATCCATAATACCAAGCCTAAGGGTTAACAACTCATGGCTTCTGGATACTAAAACAAACAAACAATTCTCGATCTGATAGCAGCCTTTACAATGCTTGCAGGCTGAAGGCCAAAACCAGGATAAAAAAGGTACCTATCAGAGAGCTGCTGTTTGCAAATGATGCCGCAATTACCACCCACTCAGAGGAGGAGCTGCAATGTTTACTATCTGCCTTTGCTGATACAGTCAGCAAAAAGAAGACAAAGGTTATTGTGTAAGTTGTTAATGATAGACCTAGTCTACATTGACGGTGAAGAGCTGGAGACAGTAGACCATTTCACCTATCTTGGTTCCACAGTAAATAACAAACTATTGCTTGATTAAGAAATCAACATCAGGATAGGTAAGGCAGCAATAACAATGAGTAGATTGACAAAAAGAGCTTGGGAAAACATAAATCTCACAATTAAAACAAAAACTCCTGACTATGAGACTTGTGTTCTCAGCCCTCTGCTTTATGGCACTGAAACTTGGTAAACTTATTCGCACCAGGAGAGACGGATAAATAGCTTTCACATGCAATGCCTAAGAAGAATACTTGGCATTAAGTGCCAGGACGAAATCACACTGAGGTACTGGAAAGAGCAGGCACTACAACAGTCTTCTTAATGCTTAGTCTACGAAGGCTCAGGTGGCTGGGTCACACCTGGAGAATGGCAGAGTCCCTAAGGACATAATTTATTTTGAATTTAAGATGGGTAGAAGATGTCGAGGCTGACCTCTACTACAGTATAAAAATGTGTGCAAGCAGGACAGGAATGATACATGTATTGAGGTGGACTCATGGAAACAAAATGCCATGAACCGTGTTGTCTGGAGTGAGCATATCAGGAAGGGAATGAGACTGAAGGAAGAAATGATTGCAGAAAGGATGAGAGCTAAGCGTTTGAAAAGAAACGGATTAAACACAAATGTTGACGACAATGGTCCTGAAATCCCAGGCTATCATTGTGGAAGACTTTTCTTAAAGCGGGCGGGTCTTGCTAGTCACACTTGCCATCGCCATGGGCTGTGAGTCCCATACCTCCTTCACTCCCCCCACCCCCAATGGGGAATAAACTAGTATAAAAAGGTGGATATGATGACAAGAACATACAATACGTACCACTGACCGACACGAGCAAATAAACTAGTCTAAAAAGGTGGATATGATGACAAGAACATACAATACGTACCACTGACCGACACAAGCAAATAAACTAGTACAAAAAGGTGGATATGATGACAAGAACATACAATACGTACCACTGACCGACACGAGCAGGATCTCTACGGTCTATACGAGATTTGTAATAGCCGACCCAGGTGTGTGTGAGTCCATCACGTATGTACTTCATGTCATCAGCAATATGTTGTACCTTCACCAGGCTCTGTATGGCTGACCTGAAGGTAGAGGAACATATTAAGTCACTGTGCTAGACAACAATTTTGTTGGCTGCTTGTGATTTCAACAGGCAATGTCACACTCAATAGTTTACCACTGCTTACTGAACTGTTGGGTCATGATACCACTATTAGAACCAATGCAAGGTGGTCTGCGGCCAGATCGCCTGCAGCTTTGATCAAACCCAGCACCCTAGAATTATGAACTGCATTTGCAGGCCTAAGCTGCAGAAGCTATAGTAGTGTAGAGGCAAGACATTTTCCTGCTGTCCCAGAAATCTTAGATTCAATCTCAGATCAAGGCAGATTTTTAAAGAAAAATTATTCTAGGAAGTAAAGGTGGTCTGCAGGATGCTGCTGACACCACTCATCAACTGCTGACTGATCTCTATAACTGTCGATCTACCAACATATGCTTGACGAACAATGACAGTCCTTATTGCAAATGCAGAAAACAAACCCAAATATAAACAGTGTTAAATACAGGCTGATCCACACACAGGTGGCACAGACAACCACAGGATAATCCAAACACAGGTGGCACAGACAACCACAGGCTGATCCACACACAGGTGGCACAGACAACCACAGGCTGATCCACACACATGTAGCACAGACAACCACAGGCTGATCCACACACAGGTGGCACAGACAACCACAGGCTGATCCACACACATGTAGCACAGACAACCACAGGCTGATCCACACACAGACAACCACAGGCTGATCCACACACAGACAACCACAGGCTGATCCACACACAGACAACCACAGGCAGATCCACACACAGGTGGCACAGACAACCACAAGCTGATCCATACACAGACAACCACAGGCTGATCCACACACAGGTGGCACAGACAACCACAAGCTGATCCACACATAGACAACCACAGGCTGATCCACACACAGACAACCACAGGATAATCCACACACAGACAACCACAGGCTGATCCACACACAGACAACCACAGGCTGATCCACACACAGACAACCACAGGATAATACACACACAGGTGGCACAGACAACCACAGGCTGATCTACACACAGGTGGCACAGACAACCACAGGCTGATCCACACACAGGTGGCACAGACAACCACAGGATAATCCACACACAGGTGACACAGACAACCACAGGTTGATCCACACACAGGTGGCACAGACAACCACAGGCTGATCCACACTCAGGTGGCACAGACAACCACAGGCTGATCCACACACAGACAACCACAGGCTGATCCACATACAGACAACCACAGGCTGATCCACACACAGGTGGCATTATATCTCAATATCTGTGTTCTCATGTACACAGGTTTACACAGCAGCTCAATATCTATGTTCTCATGTACACAGGTTTACACAGCAGCTCAATATCTATGTTCTCATGTACACAGGTTGACACAGCAGCTCCATATCTATGTTCTCATGTACACAGGTTTACACAGCAGCTCAATATATGTGTTCTCATGTACACAGGTTTACACAGCAGCTCAATATCTGTGTTCTCATGTACACAGGTTGACACAGCAGCTCAATATCTGTGTTCTCATGTACACAGGTTTACACAGCAGCTCAATACCTGTGTTCTCATGTACACAGGTTTACACAGCAGCTCAATATCTGTGTTCTCATGTACACAGGTTGACATATCAGCTCAATATCTGTGTTCTCATGTACACAGGTTTACAGGGCGGCTCAGTTTATGTGTTCTTATGTACACAGGTTGACATATCAGCTCAATATATGTGTTCTCATGTACACAGGTTGACATATCAGCTCAATATGTGTGTTCTCATGTACACAGGTTTACATATCAGCTCAATATGTGTTCTCATGTACACAGGTTTACACAGCAGCTCAATATCTGTGTTCTCATGTACACAGGTTGACACAGCAGCTCAATATCTGTGTTCTCATGTACACAGGTTTACACAGCAGCTCAATACCTGTGTTCTCATGTACACAGGTTTACACAGCAGCTCAATATCTGTGTTCTCATGTACACAGGTTGACATATCAGCTCAATATCTGTGTTCTCATGTACACAGGTTTACAGGGCGGCTCAGTTTATGTGTTCTTATGCACACAGGTTGACATATCAGCTCAATATATGTGTTCTCATGTACACAGGTTGACATATCAGCTCAATATGTGTGTTCTCATGTACACAGGTTTACATATCAGCTCAATATGTGTTCTCATGTACACAGGTTGACATATCAGCTCGATATCTGTGTTCTCATGTACACAGGTTGACATATCAGCTCAATATCTGTGTTCTCATGTACACAGGTTTACAGGGCAGCTCAATATATGTGTTCTCATGTACACAGGTTTACACAGCAGCTCAATATCTATGTTCTCATGTACACAGGTTTACACAGCATTCAATATCTATGTTCTCATGTACACAGGTTGACACAGCAGCTCCATATCTATGTTCTCATGTACACAGGTTTACACAGCAGCTCAATATATGTGTTCTCATGTACACAGGTTTACACAGCAGCTCAATATCTGTGTTCTCATGTACACAGGTTGACACAGCAGCTCAATATCTGTGTTCTCATGTACACAGGTTTACAGGGCGGCTCAGTTTATGTGTTCTTATGTACACAGGTTGACATATCAGCTCAATATATGTGTTCTCATGTACACAGGTTGACATATCAGCTCAATATGTGTGTTCTCATGTACACAGGTTTACATATCAGCTCAATATGTGTTCTCATGTACACAGGTTGACATATCAGCTCAATATCTGTGTTCTCATGTACACAGGTTGACATATCAGCTCAATATCTGTGTTCTCATGTACACAGGTTTACAGGGCAGCTCAGTTTATGTGTTCTCATGGTGACACAGACAACCACAGGTTGATCCACACACAGGTGGCACAGACAACCACAGGCTGATCCACACTCAGGTGGCACAGACAACCACAGGCTGATCCACACACAGACAACCACAGGCTGATCCACACACAGACAACCACAGGCTGATCCACACACAGGTGGCATTATATCTCAATATCTGTGTTCTCATGTACACAGGTTTACACAGCAGCTCAATATCTATGTTCTCATGTACACAGGTTTACACAGCAGCTCAATATCTATGTTCTCATGTACACAGGTTGACACAGCAGCTCCATATCTATGTTCTCATGTACACAGGTTTACACAGCAGCTCAATATATGTGTTCTCATGTACACAGGTTTACACAGCAGCTCAATATCTGTGTTCTCATGTACACAGGTTGACACAGCAGCTCAATATCTGTGTTCTCATGTACACAGGTTTACACAGCAGCTCAATACCTGTGTTCTCATGTACACAGGTTTACACAGCAGCTCAATATCTGTGTTCTCATGTACACAGGTTGACATATCAGCTCAATATCTGTGTTCTCATGTACACAGGTTTACAGGGCGGCTCAGTTTATGTGTTCTTATGTACACAGGTTGACATATCAGCTCAATATATGTGTTCTCATGTACACAGGTTGACATATCAGCTCAATATGTGTGTTCTCATGTACACAGGTTTACATATCAGCTCAATATGTGTTCTCATGTACACAAGTTGACATATCAGCTCAATATCTGTGTTCTCATGTACACAGGTTGACATATCAGCTCAATATCTGTGTTCTCATGTACACAGGTTTACAGGGCAGCTCAGTTTATGTGTTCTCATGTACACAGGTTGACATATCAGCTCAATATGTGTTCTCATGTACACAGGTTGACATATCAGCTCAATATGTGTTCTCATGTACACAGGTTGACATATCAGCTCAATATGTGTTCTCATGTACACAGGTTGATATATCAGCTCAATATCTGTGTTCTCATGTACACAGGTTGACATATCAGCTCAATATCTGTGTTCTCATGTACACAGGTTGACATATCAGCTCAATATCTGTGTTCTCATGTACACAGGTTGACATATCAGCTCAATATCTGTGTTCTCATGTACACAGGTTGACGTATCAGCTCAATATATGTGTTCTCATGTACACAGGTTGACATATCAGCTCAATATATGTGTTCTCATGTACACAGGTTTACACGGCAGCTCAGTTTATGTGTTCTTATGTACACAGGTTTACACAGCAGCTCTAAGTACACTAGAGATGTACTTACCACATTGCCTGGACGGAGACTGGTTTAAACAGGTAACACTGTTCATCAGTTCGCACACTGAAACCTCTGGAACAGAAACAGAAATGTTCATGACAATCCATTCCTCACACAATCTAACTCATCAATCCATTCTTCACACAATCTAACTCAGCAACCCATTTCTGACACAATCTAACTCATCCACCCTTTCCTCACGCAATGTATCTTATAAATCCATTCCTCACGCAATGTATCTTATAAATCCATTCCTCACAAAATGCATCTTATAAATCCATTTCTCACGCAATGTATCTTGTAAATCAATTTCTCATAAAATGTATCTTATAAATCCATTCCTGACACAATGTTTCTTATAAATCCATTCCTCACACAATGTATCTTATAAATCCATTCCTTACACAATGTATCTTATAAATCCATTCCTCACACAATGTATCTTATAAATCCATTCCTCACACAATGCATCTTATAAATCCATTCCTCACACAATGTATCTTATAAATCCATTCCTCACACAATGTATCTAATAAATCCATTCCTCACACAATGTATCTAATAAATCCATTCCTCACACAATGTATCTAATAAATCCATTCCTGACACAATGTATCTTATAAATCCATTCCTGACACAATGTATCTTATAAATCCATGCCTTACACAATGTATCTTATAAATCCATGCCTCACACAATGTATCTAATAAATCCATGCCTCACACAATGTATCTTATAAATCCATTCCTGACACAATGTATCTTATAAATCCATTCCTGACACAATGTATCTTATAAATCCATGCCTTACACAATGTATCTTATAAATCCATGCCTCACACAATGTATCTAATAAATCCATGCCTCACACAATGTATCTTATAAATCCATTCCTGACACAATGTATCTTATAAATCCATGCCTTACACAATGTATCTTATAAATCCATGCCTCACACAATGTATCTTATAAATCCATTCCTGACACAATGTATCTTATAAATCCATGCCTTACACAATGTATCTTATAAATCCATGCCTCACACAATGTATCTAACAAATCCATTCCTCACACAATGTATCTTACAAATCCATTCCTTGTACCATCTACTGTACCAATCAGCTTCTCACAAAAATATATGACGACTTCAAACCATATTTTATCTCTTCAATCAAACACTTTACACTGAATCGTCCACAATCTGTTTTATCATTACCACATGTCTGATGAAACAGTTGACCTCATCTCTTCATTCCAACAGACTTACAGTTACAGAAACCTTATATACAATCTGACACACAACAAAAACTCACATGCACAAAACAAAACCACACATACACAACAAAAGCTCACATACATACAACAAATCATCACACAAACAGGCAACAAAACTTCACAGACAAACAACAAAACCTGACACATAAACGAACAACGAAACCTCTCACACACACTAAACTCTCACACAAACACCACATAACTTCATACATAAACAATAAAACCTCCCACATACACAAACAACAAAACTTCATACACACAATAAAATCTCACACAAACACAACAAAAAACTGAATACACAAACAACAAAACCTCATTTATATACAGACTAAAAAACCTTACACACGCACAAACTACAAAACCTCATACACACAATAAAATCTCACACAAGCACAAGAAAACCTCACATACACACACAAAATCTCACACAAACACAACAAAACCTCACATACACAATAAAATCTCACACAAACACAACAAAACCTCACACACACACACAATGAAATCTCACACAAACACAAAAAAACCTCACACACACAATAAAATATCACACAAACACAACAAAACCTGGCACCTACACAAACACACAAAAACCTCCCACACACAATAAAATCTCACATAAACACAACGAACCCTGCTACATACACAAACACAACAAAACCTCCCACACACAATAAAATCTCACACAAACACAACAAAACCTCCCACACACAATAAAATCTCACACAAACACCAGAAAACCTCACACTGACATACCCATCTCCTCCTAGTGTAATCCGCAGCCCCATCCACACAGGCAGGACTAGGCCAATGGAAGCCTGGGAGGCGGTGCAGTCAATGCCCAGGATGACGGCTTCCTCTGTGTCCTGACGACCCTTGGTGGACACCAGGGCCATGTAGCGCTTGTACTGGTTGATGTCCTCCAGACGCACCGCCTGCAGGACAAACAGATGGTGTCAAACCACTCATGCACGGAGATGATGTCGCTGATGTCCACGACTTCCTGTGTTCCAGGTGACAACAAATGGATGGAATCATCCAGTAACAAGAGAAGGGAGTAAAAGGTAAGGGGACATCAACACCCTCTGTTGATCCTCCTGGTTGCACACACTCTCAGGCTGCATTGGTTCATCTGATGATGCTATCTTCCCACTTGTACCGCTGTCTACCAGTACTAAAGTTTCAGCTTCAATATAGTTTTTATAAGCCTGTTGTTTGGAATCCTCTGGGCTTTAGTCTTGTTCCAGAACCTGAGTGCTGCCTGCACATCCATTTCATGATGAAAATATGGGGGTGACTGCAGTCAAGCTAATACAAGGAATTCCAGATCTGGCTTTTTTGGTTCCTTGCCTCTCAGGTAGATGTACTCCAACTTTAAAAGAAGCCCCCCGTTAGCTGACTCTTTCAGGCCCATGAATAGTGACAGACTTGGCTCACATTTTCTTTTACAAAATGGCAGAGGGGTGGTGTAAAAAAATAGATTCAATAGAAAATGTCATATATTTCTAATACCTACAAACTTGTATACTTTTTTTTTTTCAAAGAGAAATGTATGCGAATTTTGAATCTGACGGTATGTATGTGTTTAATGCTGTGATAGTATTTTAAAAAAAAAAAAAAAAAAGAATTCAGTAGGTGTTTTGTTTACAAAGACTAAATTGTGCACACACACAAAAATCCCTTACTATGCTTTTGCAGCCACAAGAGCAGTGAATATCCAAATTTAAGAACAACAGTTTAAAGTTGGTTCAATTACCTAACAAACACAAAAGTCCTCACACGTTTCTGGATTAGTTTATCACTCAGAAGAAAAAAGACCACTAAACACAAAATATGTGCTTTGTAGTTTTATACAGACTGCAGCTGCAATGATTTCAATGCAGCTGCAATGATTTCAATGCAGCTGCAATGATTTCAATGCAGCTGCAATGATTTCAATGCAGCTGCAATGATTTCAATGCAGCTGCAATGATTTCAATGCAGCTGCAATGATTTCAATGCAGCTGCAATGATTTCAATGCAGCTGCAATGATTTCAATGCAGCTGCAATGATTTCAATGCAGCTGCAATGATTTCAATGCAGCTGCAATGATTTCATCTGCAGCTGCAATGATTTCAATGCAGCTGCAATGATTTCATCTGCAGCTGCAATGATTTCAATGCAGCTGCAATGATTTCAATGCAGCTGCAATGATTTCATCTGCAGCTGCAATGATTTCAATGCAGCTGCAATGATTTCAATGCAGCTGCAATGATTTCAATGCAGCTGCAATGATTTCATCTGCAGCTGCAATGATTTCAATGATTTTCTCTGGATGCAAATATGGGTGACCATCACACCCTTCTCTAATGAAATTGGTTTTCTTGGGTTTGCCTCAACAGAACAGCTAGATTCTCAACAGCAGACGGCTCAGCTGCCGTCGATGTAAATTCATTTCTTCCCAAAAAATGTAAGTTTTTATTATCACTATCGTTATCAGAATTAAAAATATCTGACTGAAACAATTTCAGAGCTTCAACCGCAGAAAAGAGCAGTTTGCAGCCTGTACTTGTGTTCGGAACATTGTTTCCATAGTCAGTTGAAGATGAAATCAAAACATTTACTTTCTGAAAAGGATGTTAAAAATGAATTTAATAAATCTGCACCTAAATGTATGAAGAAATGCTTGTAAACAAAGTAAAAACCTTAGAGCAACCTTCCTTGAATATTTTAATGGCCGTTTCAAAAATTAAAAACTAATACGGAACAGTAAGCAAATCATTATGCATGGGACACGTGATGGACAGACTGTGGTGTTTGGGCAAATTGAAACTTCTCAGTCAACACAGACAGCTTTGCTTGGGCCTGAAAGAGTTAAGTCTTTTGATGTGGCCAAACTATTTCACTTGTTTCTCTCTCATTTTTTTTAAATTACATTTTTTTTTTTAAATTTAAGAACTTTCTATCCATTTGCTTTTTTCTTGAAATTCTGAATGTGACTGCGTTTATTTCCAGGAAGTGTGACCTATTATTATGATATACACATCTGCAGAGACTCAAGGTGACTTTCTTATGTTCACTGTCCATGTTATGCACCACACAATGTAGATAGGTGATAGTGGAATGATAAAGGAGGCTTGTGGTACTGACAGCAAAAGGAAACAGTTGCCTGTATTAAATGTAAAAGCTACATTTATCAAATATAAAAACTAACTGTCGTTTTTGTATGAAAGGTAAAAGCTACTGATATCAAATTTACTTATTCAAATGTAAAAAGGTAAAAGGTAAACTAACTGTATGAAAAGTAACCAACACTTTCATAATACAAAAGATACGTGTGGGTATGTCAGAAGGTTAAACATAAGTTTGTTGTACTTGATGAGATGAGACATACAATTCTGGAATCTGTTCCATAACCTACATAACTCAACAATGATGAAAAAAATGTGACCTACAATTTTGATGGTGTCTTCTGGTCGCAGCAGATGCAGCATGGCTTGCAGGTGGTGCTGAATTTCTCCTAGACAAATAAACACGACTGTTTACTGATTCTATCCTTTCACCCCGTAAAAGTCGTTACACAAAATGACAATTTCAAAATTCTGTGAAAAAGAAATGCAGCTATAATTCTCTAGAACTCTAAGAAAATTAGAGGACTAGAAAAAGCAAAAAGAAATGCAGTTATAATTCTCTAGAACTCTAAGAAATTAGAGGACTAGAAGAAGTTAGTTTTTGTCAAAATCCTGGGCGCTGAAACCTATGACAACTAAGTAAATAGGCAAGCCTGCTAGCTATCACGTCATGGCATCATCAACGTCACTATAAAGATAGATGTGTTATATATTTTGTCATTATTCTGCGCAAAGGTGATTTTTTTTTTTTTTTAAATATGAAGGGAAGTAAATGTTGAATGGAAATGGAACAAAGAAATAACTGTTTTCCTTGCTCGGACCAAGAAAACTGGGCGATTAGTCCACACAGCCACAGAAAGAGTGGCACCATTACAAGTGTTTTATGACTTATTAATAGAACCACCTCCCCAACCCTTTTTTTTTTTCAAAGAAAAAAATCCTTGAAAATGTTTTTGTGTCAGTGTAGTCATAGCCAGGATGTCTGTCTACTGACACTTCTAACCTGTGATGAAGGTGTACTGGCCACTATCCTTAGACGTCATGTCATCAAAAACCCCATCAAGATCAGAATACTGGCCTTCTCAGGGCAATGGGGCTATACATCAATATCACAACCTACTGGAAATATCCCCAGATTCTCTATTTCTCTAAGATAAGGTCTTCACTTTTTTGCCCCTGAGACCCTTGCAGCAAAAGACCCAGAATCCAGGGATTTAAAAAAAAAAAAGTTACATTCTTTTACACAGGTCACTTATTGATATTTTAAACTTTATTTAGACATTTAAAAAAAAAAAACAACTATACAAAGTGGTGTGTGGTGTAATCAATAAACATGAATGGGGCAGAGAATTCAATAATATATTACATTCCCTTAAGCCTAAACAAATTTATAACACTGAACCACAATGTAATACCATCCCTATGCAACTTTTGAAGTACAAAAGCAAATAAATGATATCTGAACTATATCCTCCTGTCCTTTTTAGGATGACATTTTTCGTTATTTGAAGCCCTACTCTGGCTCTTGCCAGGGGCCGCAATATAGCCTGGCCATAAATATGGCCTAAGGGTTAAACACGGTTTCCGGGACCTCTCCACGGTGATCCTCACCCACATTGTGTCATCGGTTATTTACCGCTTGTGTGATGTCCTGGTGGGGTAGAAAGTCAGTCAGTCATATATGATATCAGAATGACTTGTGAAAAACATGCAAAATAAAAGAACACCTACAACTGCAATTTTTAGTAAATATAATCATATCCAGCACTCCTAAGCACTGTGCAGGTGCAAACAGAACCAATGCTGTTAACTAGTCTGGTCAAGGACTGGCCACTGAGGCTACTGCTGGTTTAACATGTTCCCGGGGATTTCACAGATGGTGAAGCTGGATTACTGGCAGGGCAGGACTGTATTTCAGGATCCTCAACAGTGCTACGGAGTTCGTGCACTTTGCTGAGATTCTTCAGACTCAGGCTTGAGTTAGAAGTGGAACAGAGCACTTATGGGTTACTAACCTTGTGCAATGATGTTGATCCATTGTTTAAACCTTTGAAGAATCAACATTACAGCACTCAGAATACCCCGTAAGCGCTCAATTCCCATCTTCAGCAATGAGCGCAGAGTTCCAATTCCAATGGTACCAACAGCAGTCGGATTGTATATACGTCTCGCCTGTCCCTTGAGCGATGATCGCCGACCCGATGCCGTGGTCACTCCTCGCAGTACCATTCTCTTCAGATCATGATGATCCATGTGTGCTTCCACACAGTGTTCACTCGCCCCCAAAGTGCCCTTACAACATCTAGCTTGTCAGGCATCAGTTCACCTCAAAATTGTGCCGAACCAGCCAGTCTATCTGCCTGTTCATGTCCTAATACACCAGCATATCCTGGGGAAAATATCCAAAGGACGCTAACTACCCTGGACCTCTGAAGGGATACTTGCCACTCTTCACGGTACATACTATACACAGACAGGAACACAACAAGATACTATATACAGACAGGGAACACAACAAGATACTATATACAGACAGGGAACACAACAAGATACTATATACAGACAGGGAACACAACAAGATACTATATACAGACAGGAACACAACAAGATACTATATACAGACAGGGAACACAACAAGATACTATATACAGACAGGGAACACAACAAGATACTATATACAGACAGGAACACAACAAGATACTATATACAGACAGGGAACACAACAAGATACTATATACAGACAGGAACACAACAAGATACTATATACAGACAGGGAACACAACAAGATACAATATACAGACAGGGAACACAACAAGATACTATACACAGACAGGAACACAACAAGATACTATATACAGACAGGAACACAACAAGATACAATATACAGACAGGGAACACAACAAGACACTACCTCCATGATTCTTTCTGGCAGACTTCTTGGTAAACTCATTGTGAGGAAGGATCAGTGCTGCCCCCTTGACAGTGAAATAGCTCTGGCTGAGGCTGAAACATATAAATGAACACACACTGTCAAAATGTGGCTTAAAACTGACCACCCCCACACACTGTCAACTGTGACTTATAACTTACCACCCCCTCCCTCCCCCACATACTGTCAACTTGACTTATAACTTACCCTCCGCCACATACTGTCAACTGTGGCTTATAACTTACCACCCCTCCCTCTCCCACATACTGTCAACTGTGGCTCATAACTTAACACCCCTCCCTCCCCCACATACTGTCAACTGTGGCTCATAACTTAACACCCCTCCCTCCCCCACATACTGTCAACTGTGGCTCATAACTTAACACCCCTCCCTCCCCCACATACTGTCAACTGTGGCTCATAACTTAACACCCCTCCCTCCCCCACATACTGTCAACTGTGGCTCATAACTTAACACCCCTCCCTCCCCCACATACTGTCAACTGTGGCTCATATAACTTAACACCCCTCCCTCTCCCACATACTGTCAACTGTGGCTCATAACTTAACACCCCTCCCTCCCCCACATACTGTCAACTGTGACTTATAACTTACCAACCCCTCCCTCCCCCACATACTGTCAACTGTGGCTCATAACTTACCAACCCCTCCCACCCCCACATACTGTCAACTGTGGCTTATAACTTACCAACCCCTCCCTCCCCCACATACTGTCAACTGTGGCTCATAACTTACCAACCCCACTTCCCACATACTGTCAACTGTGGCTTATAACTTACCAACCCCTCCCTCCCCCACATACTGTCAACTGTGGCTCATAACTTACCAACCCCACTTCCCACATACTGTCAACTGTGACTTATAACTTACCAACCCCTCCCTCCCCCACATACTGTCAACTGTGGCTCATAACTTACCAACCCCTCCCTCCCCCACATACTGTCAATTGTGGCTTTTAACTTACCAACCCCTCCCTCCCCCACATACTGTCAATTGTGGCTTTTAACTTACCAACCCCTTCCTCCCCCACATACTGTCAACTGTGGCTCATAACTTACCAACCCCTCCCTCCCCCACATACTGTCAACTGTGACTTATAACTTACCAACCCCCCTTCCCACATACTGTCAACTGTGGCTTATAACTTACCAACCCCTCCCTCCCCCACATACTGTCAACTGTGACTTATAACTTACCAACCCCCCTTCCCACATACTGTCAACTGTGGCTTATAACTTACCAACCCCTCCCACCCCCACATACTGTCAACTGTGGCTTATAACTTACCAACCCCTCCCTCCCCCACATACTGTCAACTGTGGCTCATAACTTACCAACCCCTCCCTCCCCCACATACTGTCAACTGTGGCTTATAACTTACCAACCCCCCTTCCCACATACTGTCAACTGTGGCTTATAACTCAACACCTCTCCCTCCCCCACATACTGTCAACTGTGGCTCATAACTTAACACCCCTCCCTCCCCCACATACTGTCAACTGTGGCTCATAACTTAACACCCCCACACACACATATACCCCTTCTCCATCCCGACATACTCAGTCAACTACAACACAGACCTGACTTCACTCAAATCAATCAACTTGACTTTACTAGCACACACAAATTACAACTGCTCCATTGATGGTGTCCACTTAGGGGAAGTTCCAAAGACAGGAACAAAGACAACTTGGCAATGCAGTCTCATATTCATCATCATCATCCCCATCCCCAAGTATCTGCTTATGACCACTGGACTGGTATCACAGCTCAACTCTCTATCAGTGACAACCACAAATGAGAATGCAGAAAGATGACTTCTGACTGCATGCAATATGAAGTGGAGCAAGTCTGTCACCATACTGATATCCCCGAGCAGGACAGGACAGACTCAACACACCCCTCCCGCCCCCAGTCAGTCCTAACTCTTGTGTCCCATGTAAAAACAAAAAGTAGAGGAAGCCTTTTCCACTGCCTCAGATGTATTGGGTAGATATGTGTGTGGTATTGTTTGATTTATGTATGTGCTGATGAAGGCTTCATAGCCGTAATGTTCACATTTTATTTGTTTTATTCTGAAGCTTGCTGATATACTTTTTGTTCGGTTATACCTTTTAGTGGGTATATATCTTGATTTATGTATGTGCTGATGAAGGCTTCATTGCCGTAATGTTCACGTTTTATTCTGAAGCTTGCTGATTTACTTTTTGTTCGGTTATATCTTTTAGTGGGTATATATCTTGATTTATGTATGTGCTGATGAAGGCTTCATAGCCGTAATGTTCACGTTTTATTCTGAAGCTTGCTGATTTACTTTTTGTTCGGTTATATCTTTTAGTGGGTATATATCTTGATTTATGTATGTGCTGATGAAGGTTTCATAGCCGCAATGTTCACGTTTTATTCTGAAGCTTGCTGATTTACTTTTTGTTCGGTTATATCTTTTAGTGGGTATATATCTTGATTTATGTATGTGCTGATGAAGGCTTCATAGCCGTAATGTTCACGTTTTATTCTGAAGCTTGCTGATTTACTTTTTGTTCGGTTATATCTTTTAGTGGGTATATATCTTGATTTATGTATGTGCTGATGAAGGCTTCATAGCCGCAACGTTCACATTTTATTTGTTTTACTGTGAAGATTGTTGAATATACTTTTTTGTTCGGTTACATCTTTTAGAGGGTATATAGTGCTAGACCGATATTTTATTGTTTAACTGCCATTCAATGGTTAATGGGGTCAACATCACAACAACTGCATTTACTTATCAGGACTTCAGCTGGCACTATTTTGGGTTGGGTCAACCTAGGGCTCATTCGAGACCTGAAAGGGGTTTCACCTGTCAGAGTGAAGTTTGAGTGTTAGCACCTGACTACTGATACAGTCATCAAGTACACTCTTCTTGTAAACTGTGTTGCACAGCTTCCTTTCTCTTCTCCAAGCTTAGACACCAGCAGCATGAGCAAGACCTGTTCTGGAACTTCCCATCTGCGGTGAACAGTTTCAGGATGTTCCTTCATTCAATGGCACCTTTCCATTGTTCCAGATGATAATTTTATATTGTGTTATCAAGAGACTTATAAATCACGGCTGATTACTAAGGCAGGGTTGAGTTGAGTCAAGAACTGACATAACAGCACTCGGGGCATTCCCATGCATGCTCCATCCTCATCTTCAGCAGCCAGCGCAGAGTTCCAATACTGATGGTACTGGTCACAGTCTGGTTAAATGTCCATCTTGCCTTTCCTCCGAGTGTAGTGAGCCAGCCAGACCCTCTGGTCACACCCAGGTGCCTCATTCTCTCCAGGCCATAACAGTCTTCTTTCTCTACTTTTCCCGTCGCTTGTTCCCAAAGGGCCTTGACCACGTCTGCCTTGTCATGTATCATTTCACCACTCTGTGGTGCGGATCCAGCCAATCTGTCTGCCTGTTCATTACTCACCACGCGGGCATGGCCTGAAGAAAAGATCCAAAGTAAGGCAGGGATGTTTAGAAGGTGGTTTAGAAGGAGCGGTACCTGGAAGACAAGGCAGGCAGTGACCACAATGACAGTGGATACTTGTCAGTAAATTCAATGAGTATGATCCGGAGGGTTCAGGCAGGTTCGGTGCGAAGACAATTGCTTGAATCATTACAGAGGTCCACTGTGCGAGGAGTCACTTTTATTTTTGTTCCGGGGTACGCAGGCGTCCATGGAAATGAAAAAGCTGACAGGTTGGCTGGATCCGCTATCACAACCGACGGTCAGCCTATGGATCATGCTGATATTATTAATGACCTCAGAGAAATGGGAAGGATAGAGGACTTTGGTGGCAGTGAATCTACATCACCAGACACGCCAGAAGACTTGTTAATCAACATAAAACTGTTACTATTAGCCATCGGACGCTGGGGTTCATACTGAGGGGAGGATCTGAGCACCTATGGACATGTCTGGAGTGCAATGATGATAACCCAACTAACTAACTAACTAACTTGTCAGTAAACACAAAATGAACATGCATGCAGCGGCAAAACTGGCACATAAAACATCCCAAGTTTTCATGGCAATACTTGATTTGCAAAACATGCCACATGATGATGATAACTGTCAACATTCCATCAAACAGGCAGCAAAATAAAAACAAAAAGAAGCATCCCATCACCTTGTGAACATGGCACCTAGAAACTACACATACAATACTGGGAGAAAATCTGCTTCATGGTTGTGATCAAGCATGTTTCTGTGGTGAGAATGTAGATATCTGTCTGATTTTCCATCCTCCTCCTCCTCATCAGCCAGGACCTTGAGCTAGTATGATGGTTGTACTGATAGATCTTCTTCTTCCTCTTCTTCGCGTTCACCGTTCTGGCGGAAAGTTCTGGTTGCTCGTCCACTACTGAACTGCAGTCCTGCTCCAGAACCTGAGTCTTGCGTGTGCATCAGTTTTACAGATCTCATTCTCTTGAATACAGACTGTTGGTTCCTTGCCTCTCTGGCAGATGCACTCCGACTTCAAAGGAAGCTCCCCAATTAGTCGACTCTTACGACATGCTTTTGGGGAGGCAGTGGGTCTATTCTTGTTTTCCCCCACAATGGGACCCCGGAACCCACACGGGGGGGGGGGGGGGGGGGTACTGACAGATGTCTGCTGGCCCGTTTATCAATGTTGTCTCTGCTTCCCCTCCCCCCCCCCCCAACTCCTTCCTTGTGCCCTGAGAGTTTAGCTTCTGATACTCCCTGTGATGCTTCTTCATGCCATAACACAACACTAAGTGAAATCTTTGCTGTCTGTCGCACTTTACTTGGCTGTATTTTTCGTGACTAGATACTATTAACATGTGCACAGGAAATCCTCATCATCATGTAGCAGGTCCTATGCAGAACCTCGCTCTCATCACAGTTTGCCTGAAAGAAACTCGGTCTCTCACCAGCTCTGCCGCCTCAATTACTGTCATACTCAAGGAGTCAATTATATCCTGTGCCCATCTTCATGCTAGTCGGCCCCTGCCCCTCCTTCCTGGTACCATGCATTCTGCTATTATTTTTTTTTCCAATCCACCATGGAGCTTG